CGGGCTGGGCCCCCCCGATGCCCCGTTAGGCCAAATGCCTTGCTCTGAAGAAGCAGAGAGGGGACTTATTAAAAGCCTTTCATATTCCTGCTGCTGAGGTCCCGTTTGGCGGGCGCGGGGCTGCCGAGGGGGAGCGGGGAGCCCGCAGCCTGCAAACAGATTGTGCAATATTTGCCCTGCACAGAGCTGCCATTGTAAAAGCCGCGAGTTCTGCTTTCAATAACCGCTCTGCTCATAATGCCCCATTGAGCGGGGAGAGAAAGGCCGTATTGAGCTCGGAGGGGCTCCGGCCCCGGCAAGGGTTAAAAAGTAAAGAAGAAGGAGGGGGGGAAAAAAAAAGAAAATAAAGATTCGAGGCTTAGGTTTAAACGTTGCTGTGTGGCCCTTATGGTAAATCGCGGCCGCTGGGAAGTATGTGGAGCCTGTTTGCATAACCCGGCTTGCAGCAAGCGCTTTCTGAGCCAAAACACAAGTGCGGCCGGAGCTGAGGGGGGAAGAAGCAGGAAGGACCGCGATTATTTTCATTCTTGCCCCAGGCCACATAAAATTAATTAAAGAAAAGAGCTAATATTCAAATATTTGTTTAGAGAAGCAGCTGTGCAAATGCAAGGGGCTGTGCCAGCTGCAGAGCGTGGGGAGACCTGGCCCAGGCGCCGGGCAGGGTTCGCTGCCTCCGAGCTCACACCGGCGGCAGGGCAGCATCCCTCGCGCTTCTGTGAAGTGCCTGATGCTAAAAAGCACCAGAAAGGACCAGACTGAGCTTGGTCTGATGGCTTTGCTCCTTGATTTCTCAGCTTGCAGGGCCTGGTCTCTGGTGGAAAGCGTCCGTGGGCGCGTGGAAGTGCTCGGTTGGGAGGAAGACGGTGCCTTTCCTCCCTCATGGTCCATGCGTGCAGGTCCGGGAATGCTCTGCCTCCGGAGCCGCTGCCGGTTCCTCCTGCGGGGATTCCCATCATGCTGGAGGAGTAAAAGCACCTGGGAATGGGGCCGGAAGGGAGATGCACTGCTGCCGGCTGGGCGCTGGATGCAGCGGGAGCAGCGGGACAGGCTCCAGCTCCGTGTCCCACCACCAGTTCGGAGCAGCTCCACGGACAGGTGGTGCGAGCGGGTGCTGAACTGGGCGCCCGGGAAGGGGCCGGTCAGGGTCCCCGCGCAGCCAGGGGCCACCTCGGCGTTGTGCAACACCAAGGAGGCTCCTGCCTCTGGAGACATCTCGGAGCAAGGCTGCACAAGTGGCTGCCTTGAATTAATAACAGGCGGCGGGGGCGGAGGGGGTTGCTCCAGGCCCTGAGCACTTTTTCCATTCCGGAGACCTTGTGATGCATTAATCACCCCGCGGCGGCCTCCCAGCCAGCTCGAATTGTCCTGACCCTGGAACTCAGGAGTTGTCATTTCTTCCTCTCCCCGCTCTTTCCCAGCCTTTCCCACCTCCTGTCTCCTCTTAGATGATTTCAGCAAGGCTGGGGCCTGGATAGCCCTTTATCCCATTCTCTCCGAGGCTCTGGAGGGCAGTTTTTCCCCCTGACACTCCCTGCTTTTCATCTTGCTATAGGAGAACCCAGGCTGCGCATCCTCCTCCAGCGGGGACACGTTTGTGTCCCCCAGGGCCTCAGCATCTGTCCCTGTGATTAATGGATTATTAATCCATTAATCCATTAATCCATTAACCCCGCCTGCCAAGCGGGGTCACCACCAGCAAACTTGGCCCTTCCTGGTCTTGTTTTGTGTTTGGGGCAGTGCCTGGCTCCTGCTCTGCCTGGCTCCGGCGGGATGCTCCGAGCTCGGCCGTGCCCGGCCGCCCTCTCCCACACGGCCCTTGCTCTCAGCTGGCTCTGGAACGGCAGCCCGCAGTGCTGGCCGAGACCCGCGGGGCTTTCAGCTCTTGGAAACCTTCCCTGTGCTCTGTGATCCCAGCCCTTTCCTCCCTGGACCACAGGCCAGCCCGGACCCGCCAGGGATCTCCCGGGGGACGTGCCGGTCTGGCTGAGCACAGGTCTGCATTATCAGAACCCGGCCCAACACCCTGTCCATTTTTTCCTGCTTTTTTGCTCTCATTTCTTCCTGCTTTCTCTCTAGAAGCTCTCGCAGACAGGACTCTGCTCCATCACCCCCGTCCTCCATCCGTGGTGGTCCTGGTCCCCAGTCCCGCTAGGCCTGTCCCTGGAGGGGTTTTGCGTGGCCAGGTCCCCCTGCTGCGGTGAGGGGCCCGCATTCCCTTCCTCAGAGGTGGTCTCTGGGCTGCCCCTCTCCCAGCGCGTTCCCGACCCACTCCCGTGCCTGCTTTTCCTCTCCTGCACGTCCCACCCAGCCCACTGCTGTCTATGGCAGATGGGTTCGCTCCGCCAGCCCCAAACTGCGGGCACAATTTATCAGCACCCTGTGCTCGCCTGAGCTCCCTCCCTCTGCCACAGGCAGACTTAGTGCCCCTCAGCCCCGGCCCTTGCCTTTTGCCCTGTCCTTTTCCTTGCAGGGTTCAAAGCAGGCAAGGGAAGGACCTGTGAGTCCCGGTTCTTCTGGCTGTGTAAATGCCAGTGAGCACCATACAGTGAGGAGAACACCCAAGGAGGGGAGCCAGGCTCTGTCCATAGGGACCCAGGGATGTCCTCCCATCAGCAGTTCAGCAGGATCTATAAGAAATCCCCTCCCCAGTTTGGAGAGACTCGTGATGTCAGTGCCTATAGAAATACATTGCATAAAACCCTCCCATTGACTTTGAGCTCCGTCGTGCACCAAGAGCACAAGGCAGCCGCGCTTGCTCGACGGGAGAGGGGAGCGTGGCGGGAAGACAAGGTATTGCGTTTGGAAGAGACACTCACCCAGACCCACTATTCCCTGTCACTGGGCAGGCGCTGTGCGCGTTCCCTGCGGTGACTTGCAGCCCAGGGCAGCCCAAGGGGCTCTGTCCGGCGGGAGCAGTCCATGGGAAGAGCAGGTGGACACCCAGGACCAGGGAATCTGGGGACACCTCTGCTTTCTGAATTGCTCCCCTTCCCCTTCTTTCAGGTCCGGATTTTTCTGGGAGGAAGGAGTTGTTGGAAAGTAAAGAAGTCGGGAGAACTGCAGAAAGGGCTGGAGAGTGGTGGGAAGGAGAGAGAGGAGCAGGCGGAAGGAGTGATTAACCCCCGGGGATGAACCCAGCCTTTCTGAAGGGCTGGACCCAGCCCTGCCCGACTCCTCCGAGCCAGCAGGGATTCCTGCCAGTGGGAAGAGCCGGGGCTCACGTGCAGAAACCAGGCTGCACGTCTGTGCCTCCCCCACGTGCAGCCAGCACCGAGCCCCTGCGCGCAGGGAGCCTTATGGAGCCTCCAGCCTTCCCACTCCTCCGAGGTGCCGGGGATTTCAGCTGAGGAAACTGACGGTGGATGGCGAGGAGGTGGTGGGAGCTCTGGGAGGTGTCAGGGGACGGATGGAGTCTGGAAAGTGCCCAGGAGTCCCAGCAAGGGGGACCTTGGCAGGGGCCTGGTGGCAGAAGAGACCCCAAAGGAAGGGAGCCTGGGGAGGAGGAACCTCCCGCCAAGGAGGGTGAATGTGTCTGATGTTGGCACAATATCCCCCGTCCCAGGCTGCGTAACAAAAGCTGGGGCTGCACGGGGGCCTGATGGTCCCTTCTTGCTCCATGGAAGCTGCTCCTGCGAGGGGAACTGCACAGGGGGGTCTCTGTCCTTCTCCCCAGAGCTCCCCAGAAGCACAAAGGGGCAGCCAGGGCACCCAGGCAGCCCCCTCTTCCCGTACCCCAGCTTCGGAGCAGCATCAGCCCGAGGCCCCTGCTTGGTGCCCAGCCCTGCCTTGGCTGCCCGTGGCCGGGGGCACAAGCGGCGCCTCCCGGCCCCGTGTCCCTCCCCGGGGTGGCCGCAGCGGCCGTGCCCCTCAGTGCCAGCCCTTGGGTGCCGTTACCCGGCTCGGAGGCGTTTGTGCAGCTTCCTCTTGCCTTGCCCGCCTTCTGCTTCGCTCTGTTCCGTTCTCCCGGCGCACGGAGTCGGTGGCAACGCTCCCACGATCCCTCCCGGCACAGCCTGTCCCGCTCCCCTTCCCGGCAGCGCCACGCGGGGCTGCGAGCGCCGACCCCGGGAGGGCCATTCCCACCGTCCCCCCCGAGCTGAGCCCCCTGGGGCAGCGGGGACCCCCGAGGGCGCCCCCAGCTCCGGCCGCGGGCTCTCCGCACGGCGCGCGGAGGAGGGACGTCCCTCCCAGGACCCTGCGAGCTCTGGGTCTTCCCAGCGTTTTCCCGGAGTGGCGGAGCGGGCGGGGAGGGGCCAAGGCCGCAGCTCCCCATAAACCTGGCGGCGGAGCCGGCATCCCGGGCAGATGTTAGGGCTTCCCGCGGGCTCCGCGCGCGCGGCCGCAGGGAGCCCCGTGCCCGCCGCCCCGCGCTGCCCTCGGCAGCTCCCCGGCCAAGCGAGCAGGGACCTTCCCGAGCTCCCGGCAGCCTCGTGAAAGACTCCGGGGCCGCCTCGAGTTAAGAAAAAAGGAAGGAGAGGAGGGAAGGAGGACGAGGTGGGAGGAAAGAAGGAAAAAAAAAATCATGGTGTGGTCTTGCCAAGGAATGTTTTTGGAGCGAATGGTGAGAAAAGGAGACGGCGGCTTTTCCCTGACGGGCGAGGATGAGAACTCAGCACCTCTGGGCTTGAACTTTAGCACCCTCTTCTGCAGGAGTTTAAACAGAAAGATCATCTTATCCTGAGCAAGCCGCTTGGACGGCCGAGCGGGCACAGAGCTGAGCTGCAGGAGAAGCCGGCCACAACTCCAGCAAGGTTTTCATGTGGATTTTAAAAAGAGAAAAAGAAATCACAGCAACAAAAAGCCGGGAAGCCAGAGAGTATTTCTAGCACTTGAGACACGCTGGAGTAGCTCCGGAACTGTTCTTAATAACACGGCAAGGAAACTCATTCTGCAGCGCATGTGTGTGATTGGATCGGCTGGCCGGTTATTTGCTTTTGACTGAAGGCGCCGCAGCCCCGGCGGGAGCCGCTGCTTCTTTGTGTGTGAGCGTCTTCATGGGGACCGCTCCTGCAAACCCCGCTGCGGGCACTGCGGGGAACGTCCCCTAGGCTGGGGGCTGCGCTGGGGGCAGCAACGACCCCCTGCTTGCTCTGCTTCGCTTCACTTCGCTTCGCTCCGCTCTGCTTTGCTGGGGGATGCGGGGACAGTAGCACCCTTGGCCGCACCATGGCTGTCTACGCCCTCACGGGCTTCTCACTGGTCAGTTTGCTCAGCTTTGGCTACTTATCCTGGGACTGGATGAAGCCCGGTTTGGTGGCCGATGTGGCTATGGACCCCACGGAGAAGTCGCTGCCTCCTGCCTTCTCCAGGCCGCCTCACATCGTCTTCATTCTGACCGATGACCAAGGCTACCATGATGTTGGGTATCACGGCTCGGATATCCAAACGCCGACACTGGACAGGCTGGCAGCAGAAGGGGTTAAGTTGGAGAACTATTATATCCAGCCTATCTGCACCCCATCCAGGAGCCAGCTGATAACGGGCAGGTAAGAGAACACTTGTTTCTACCCTGCTGAGGTCCCCCTACATGGGCCTGCTTCTCTCTCTCTCTCAGCTCTTGGAGACGTATCCCCAGTTTGCTGACACTTGTTGCACGTTGCCTCACAGAACAGGCCTCATGCTAGTTTTTCTAGATGATTCTAGATGTCTGCTTGGACAGTGGATTTTTGCACGGTGTGGATAACATGATGTCAGTAATGGTGTGACTCCACGGCAGTGCAGGTGCTTGGGTCGCATCCTCCAGCCCAGCTGAGCTGCTTCCTTAGACACGCGTGTTGTGCTGCAGCTAAGCCCGGCTCTTTGCCCCATCCACCCCTGCCTTGGTGCGTTTGCCTGGGACTCTGAATGCCTGAGTCCTGCTCCTTGTGTTGTCCCAGCTGGGGTGGCCATCACTGTGGTGAATAGCCAGTGTCTGCCCCCTCCCTGGCTCTCCCTGTGATGAGTGTTTCTGGTCCTGAGTGTTGCAAGAAGAAATGGGTGCAGGGTCAATCGTGCTCTGCCAACAGGAGCTGGCGAGGTGTTAAGGAAAGCTCAGGACAGGCTCAAGGAAGGCAGGAGATGTGGTCTCTGCAGCTAGCACACCAGTGACTCCTCAAGGCACATCACCAAGGCCAAAAATGTAGACGTGATTGACCACCAAACTCAGTTTGGGAGAGGGGGGTCTCTGGCCAAGCCTCTGAGGCCACCTGAGGGTGGTGGAGCCCAGCAAGGTCCCAGGAAAGCCCTTTCCTTCCTCCTGGAAGGCTCAAAAGGGAGCCAGGTGTCCCCAGGGCTGGTAAAGCAGAAAGGAGGACGGGATGCATCCGTGTGCAGGTGGGGCACTGCAGACCCCTAGGGATCATTGGGCAACTCTTGCCTGTCCTGCAGGGCTGACCTGACTGCTGGTGGCACCCGGGTTTGGTAGGGAGAGCAGCCCAGTACCCTTCAGGGATGTCTCTTGAGCGTCCTGTCTTCTTTTTTGAACTTTCTGTGGTACTTTCGGATGCACAGACACTTCCCTGCCTCTGGCATGGAGCTTGCTCCGTGGAATTGGGCTTGGAGTGCCCAGTAACCAAAGGGCTGCTCCGCATGAGCTCTCTTTGCTCTTGGTTCTTCTCTGGCAGGTACCAGATCCACACGGGCTTGCAGCACTCCATCATCCGCCCGCGGCAGCCCAACTGCCTGCCCCTGGACCAGGTCACCTTGCCCCAGAAGCTGCAGGAAGCGGGCTACTCCACGCACATGGTGGGCAAGTGGCACCTTGGCTTCTACAAGAAGGAATGCCTGCCCACCCGCCGGGGCTTTGACACCTTCCTGGGCTCCCTGACGGGCAACGTGGACTACTACACCTATGACAACTGCGATGGGCCTGGCGTCTGCGGCTACGACCTGCATGAAGGGGAGAAAGTGGCCTGGGACCAGAGCGGGAAGTACTCGACGTTCCTCTACGCCCAGCGCGTCAGCAAGATCCTGGCGTCCCACAGCCCCAAGGAGCCCATCTTCATCTACGTGGCCTTCCAAGCGGTGCACACGCCTCTGCAGTCGCCCAAGGAGTACATCTACCGCTACCGCTCCATGGGCAACGTGGCGCGCCGCAAGTACGCGGCCATGGTGACGTGCATGGACGAGGCCGTGAAGAACATCACCTGGGCCCTCAAGAAGTACGGCTATTATGACAACAGCGTGATTGTGTTCTCCACCGACAACGGCGGGCAGACCTTCTCCGGGGGGAGCAACTGGCCCCTGCGAGGCCGCAAAGGGACATACTGGGAAGGGGGGGTCCGTGGCATCGGCTTTGTGCACAGTCCCCTGATCAAGCGCAAGCGCCGGACCAGCTGGGCCTTGGTTCACATCACGGACTGGTACCCGACTCTGGTGAGCCTGGCAAGGGGCAACCTGAGCAACGTCCCAGGCCTGGATGGCTACAACGTGTGGCCCGCCATCAGTGAGGGCAAGGAGTCCCCGCGCACCGAAATCCTGCACAACATCGATCCGCTCTACAACCACGCCAAGTACGGCTCCTTGGAGGACGGCTTCGGCATCTGGAACACGGCCGTGCAGGCCTCCATCCGCGTGGGCGAGTGGAAGCTGCTCACGGGCGACCCGGGCTACAGCGACTGGATCCCTCCTCAGACCCTGACCAACTTCCCCGGCAGCTGGTGGAACCTGGAGCGCCTCACGGACGGCCCGCGCAAGTCCCTGTGGCTCTTCAACATCAGTGCCGACCCCTACGAGCGTTACGACCTCTCGGAGCAGCGGCCGGACGTGGTGCGGGCCCTCTTGGGGAGGCTGGTGCACTACAACCGGACGGCCATCCCCGTGCGGTACCCCGCTGAGAACCCCCGCGCTCACCCGGACTTCAACGGCGGCGCCTGGGGGCCCTGGGCCAGCGAGGACGACGCAGAGCAGTGGGAAGGGGGCGGGCAGCCCCTCAGGAACAAGAACAGGAAGAAGAAGTGCAAGATCTGCAAGCTGCGCTCCTTCTTCCGCAAGCTCAACACCAGGCTCATGTCAAACCGCATCTGACGGAGCGTCCCACCAAACGCCCCCCGCCCGGGCGCGCAGCGCGCGCAGGAGCACGCGGGTCTGCAGGCGAGCCAAGCGGCCTGGCGGCACTGCTGAGCACTGACACCCGAGCGTGGGGTGCTGAGCAGTGACACCCGAGCGTGGGGTGCCGAGCACTGACACACGGGTGTGCCGAGCTGGCTTGGCCCGCGCACCGCTCCCTCCAGAGCCTCAGGCCTCCTCTGCAGGACTGCAAGGCAAGCGCAGGCTTTAATTGTGCAGCAGCCCATTGCACCAGCCCCAGGAGCAGAGCGGGGACCCTGGCCGGGCGCCCCGGGTTGCGGGTGCTCCTAAGAGCCCGTGCATTTCCTCACGTTCGGTCTCTTTATAAATGTGCTCTCAGTTCCGCAGCGCTGCCGAGCAGCCGCCTTGTTGGGAGCTTGCAGGGCCGCCCTCATCCCGAAACCACCACGTTTCCCCACGGTCCTTCTTACAGGGACGGATATTCCTGCCTTGCAGACGGCAGACCTGAGAGCGCGGAGGCCGGGCTCAGCCTTCCTGCCCCGTGCTCTGTGCGATGCTGAGACTTCTCCTCTCTGGCTCTGCGTCACTGCTTGGTTTGCTACAAGCGATCATGGACTTGACATTATATATCAATATACATATATACATATATATCTGTCAATATACGTGTATTGACATGTATATATGTCCCTCTCGTGCACACTTGGGACGAGATGCGCGAGGTGTGTGGCTGCAGGCACGCGGGAATTCCTTGCTCAGCATCCCCACATGCGCCCAGGCATCCTGCACGGGTCATCCCTGCCGCCCCGTCTCCATGCGGGAGCCGTGTGGGACCCGGCGTCTCGCGCCCGGAGCAGAGGGGAGGTCTCAGGGAGGCCATTCCTGCCTCCTCGGAGGCTCCATCCCTCCTCGGAGATACAGGACTCGGAAGCCACGGTGGGGCCGGGGAAGCAGTGCTGTCCCGATGCCCGCCTCGCCGAGCCGCGCGCTGCATCCGCATCATCCCGAGCTCAGCCCCACTCGGTGCGCAGAGCTGCCCGCTGCGCCCGCGGCTGCGGACGGGCACGGCGCTCCCGGAGCGCCCGCGTGGCGGGGAAAACGCCTCCCATCCGCCCTCGGGAGGCTCCGAGCGAGGCGCTCCTGTGGGGCCGGGCACGGGGCGCTCCAGCGGCGAGCGAGGCGCCCGCGGCTGCGCTCCGAGCGCGGCTGCCGAGCAGCAGAGAGGGTAAATGGCTCCAAAAGCGTTCGGGATGCACGGTGCGTTTCCATTTACACAATGTATTTTACATTTCTCCCCACAGGTTTCTCTTGGTGCAGCGTGTGTAGGCGAAGGCCCTGCTGTGAATTTTGAAAATAGTTATTTTTGTCTCTGGAAAATGAGGCCCGTTAGGACTTGTCAGCTCTTGGATGAGCAGTGTGGGCTTTTTTTTTTTTTTTTTTTTTTTTTTTTTTCCCTCCTCTCTCTCTCTCCCTTGCAAAATAACATTCATTTAAAATCTGTCATTGAAAGATGTGACAATTGGCAGAATGTACACTGAATACCTTTCAGGGTGCTTTCAAGCCCCGTGTGTGAGAGAGAGGGATGGGAAGAGAATGCAGTGACACGTTTGTATTTTTTTTTTCCTTCTACTCTTAGGTGGATTATTTGGGGGAACTGGGATTTTCTATAGAAACAAAGAGAGGAAAAAAAAAATAAAAAAGCCCACAGCAAGACATAATACACAGGCCCTGTTACTGTAGAGATGGAAAGGAGCTTGCAGAGCCGGAGCGTGGATGTGTCTGTGTGTCCGTCCGCCTGTCCGGGCTGCTCTGTGCGCTCTGGTCACCACGCTGGTCTTTGTGCTCTGGGGCTCTGTCCAGACCCACAGACACGTCCCCTAGGACCGAATTACAGGCAGATTTTGCAGGGGCCCTGGGTACCTCCAGGGCTTCCCCATCCGCCTGGGAGCTGCCCGCAGCCTTGGAGAGCCCCCATCTCCATCCGCACCGCGCTTAGCGCGTCGCTCCACATGGATCCGCCGATGGATGTGGCCGCAGAGCGTCGCCATCCCGGGGCGCATCCTGCAACCACCGCTATCCCAAACCAACCACAGCAGGACGCGTCGCATCCCTCAGTTTACTACCTCATCCGAGGAGGGCTCCGAGGCTGCCGCACGGCAAAGTCCCTTGGTGCCCGGCACGAATCCGCGCTCCGCCAAAGCAGAAGAGCCCTCACTGCCCACAGCTAAGCCCGTTCTCCATAAGCCTGCTCTCCATAAACCCATTCTCCATAAGCCTGCTCTCCATAAGCCCATTCTCCTCGCTTTGCCGGGCGGCGGGAGGAGGAGGACACGGAGACCCACCACGGGGTGCCTGCAAAGGGGCTGGCGGCGGGAAGGGACCTTGCCGGAGGGAGCAGCGAGGCTGGAGCCGGCCGTGGGGTGGCGACAAGGCTCGGCAAACACTTTGCATTTCCATATTTATGTAAACGCATCCAAGTTTGGTTCTTTTCTTTCTTTCTTTTTTTTTTTTTTTCTCAAAAATGGAAATTTCCATGCAAACCTGTTTGTTTTTTTTTTTTTCTCCCTTTGGTTTTACTAATATCTCAATGAAATTGTTAGCCTTGCCTGATTTCGAGCTTTGCATCGCTGGCTTGCTGTTCCCCGGCTGATGCTGGTGGTGGTCAGCCAGGGGAGCCATGGTTCTGGGGCTGTTTGGTTTTGTTTTTAATAAAAATGTTGCCTTCTGAATTGTAACTAAAAGAAATAACCAGAGGAGAGTCTTGAAAAGAGGAAAAGGAGGAAGGAAAACAGGCAGCAAAATCTCCGGGTGTTTGCAGCACGCAAAGCGTGTCCTCGTGGGAGGAGAGCGCGCTCTCCTCCGATCTCCTTTCCAAGCGAAGTGCCCAAACTGCCTGTTTGGAGCCCGTTGGAGAGACCCGCTTTGGGAAGCATGAGCTCCAGGTGCAAAGGGGTTAAGGCAGCGGGTGGGCAGACGTTTATGAGTGGAGCACCCAGGAAATCTGTTCACAGCGAGGAGCCCGGAGCTCTCCCTGCTCCTTCCCTCCCGCTGCCCAGAACTCCGCGCGAGCCCCAGTCTCCGTGAGTCCCTGGGCCGGGCGCCGAGCGAGGGGCAGGTTCCCGGGGGGCGGCGGACACTGCGGATGCAGGGCTGTGTTTCGCCGGGGCCGCCGCGTCTCCATCTCCAGCCCCTCCGTGATTCCGTGACCTCCTTGCGGGTGTTTGGCGTGTGAGGTTTCCCCGTGGCAGACGGAGCTGGCGCCAGTGCCCGGGCCATGTGGTGGCTCCAGGGAGTCCCCGCACACCCAGCGTCCTGCCCGCAGGTCAGTCCCACGGCTCTTGTCCACAGAGCCCCCTGCTCAGGGCAGAGGTGGCCCTGGGGATGTCCCCTCTCCACCAAAAGCCGGGCGGTAGGGCCTGCAGGGACGGGGCGCGTTAGAAAACACAACCTTAAATGCAGATCTGTTCTCCTCGCCACGGTATTTATAATTCTCCCCTAAAAATAACCGAGAATTCAGCCTTCCAGAGGACATCAACTGAGCATCCCCCAGACCCCAGCTTGCGTGTGAAAGTGTCCCGCTAAATTTGGGATCTCTGCAATATGTAACTCGCAGCTCTGCTTGGTTTGCATGGGAGACACGGCTGCAGGCTCCGTGGGGCCCGGGCCCTCGTGCCCCAAGCAGGGGGGTCCTCACGGGGCTGCTGCTCCGTGCGGGAGGCTGAGCCCAGCCCAGGCCCCGCGGCTGGAGGGGCCGGAGCCCAGGGATGTTCCCACGGGATGGGCACCGCCAAGGCCCCGCTTGCAGCGCGGGTTGGATGCGGGAAGCACAGGGAGGCCGGAGCCATCCCTGGCGAGGCCGCGGCGAGGAAGTGCACGGGAGGAAGGTCTCCATCAGGTGGTGAGAGCCCAGCACAGCAGCAGAGCCCCGGAGCAGCTCCCGGGATAGCCAGGCTGCTGCTCCTGGAGAGGAGACTGCGGCGGGCGGCTTTCCCTGGAGGATCCTGGGGAGACCTGGCACCGGGACTGCCCATGCCCTGTGGTGCAAAGGGACCACTCACACCGCCACCATCGGCTCCTGGCCCCGGGCAGGCGCCCAGACACCTGCTTTGCTTCATGTTTTTCCCAAGCAATGGGAAAGCATCATCCCCAGTGCCGCCCGGAGCCATGGGATCGGCGGGAGAGCGGGGGCCGTGCGGCCCTTCCCAGTGCTGGAGCACATGGATTCACGCACCGGGCAGTCCACATGGGCATGGGGAGGAGAGGCCGGTCGGGGATGCTCACGGGGACACGGGCGCTGGCACAGAGAACACGGAGGCAGCCGATGGGGCACGGAGCCCCACGGACACAGCGCCTCCTCCGCGCGATCTCCTCATCCTCTTGGCCCTGGTTACTCATCCCGGAGGGAAGCGCCGCGCGGCGCCGGCCCCGTCGCGCCGGCAGCGCCCGGGCACCGCGCGCGGCTGCGGGAACAAAGCGGTGGGCACGGCAGCGGGTAATGGTGCAATTAATGGAAAAGCCATTAGACCTTTCTCCTCCTCCCCCTCCTCTTCCTCACTCCGCCACTTGCTGTCCTCCTCCACTTCCACCTCCTTTCTTCTCTCCCTCTCTCCGCTCCTCCTTCTCCCTCTCCTCTGGAAGATTTCTCCCTATTTTTGTCTGGTTAGAGCCTTTTCTTTTCCCTTTAACCCCTCCATGGCTGCCTGGCAGCGAGCTAAACCAGCCAAAATCCGTCCTGCAAATCCCGGCGGCCGCGGAGCCCTCGGAGCAGCCGGCATCGCCCTGCGGCACCGGGTGCCAGTCCACATTGCCCCTTGGCACGAGGGTCAGGCCTGCAAAAACAGACAGAAACGGGAAAAAACCCTGGGGGAAGAGACTGCTGCGAGGGTCAGACGGAAAGCAGGGAAGGGATCCCCCTCCCTGCTGCGCACCCAGATCCAACCACAAGGGTTGGCCCCGAGGGTCCAACCCTTGTGGTTGGATCTGGGTGCGCAGCCCGAGGGGCTCAGGGTGCTCTGGCACTGCCTGGGCTGCCGACCTGCAGCAAAAGGCCTCAGAGCTCATGGCTTGCTCCTTTTTATTAACATGTTCCCTGTTGATTTTCTTTCTTTTGTGCTTTTTCTTCGGTGTTTCTTTGCACACCGAGGGGCTGGCGGTGCGTTGCCCCGCGGGGCGCCTCCTCGGGGGTCCCAGCGCCGCCTCACAAGGACCGGGAGGAGCGGAGGGCTGCTGCTGCTTTGCTCCTGGTTCAAACCCTGGAGACGGGAGCAGGGAAAGGCCCCCAGGCCTCCCAGCCCCCTCCTCCCCGCTCCCGGTGGGAAGGAGAAGCTCCAAACTCCTCGTTTCCCACCGGCGCCGGGACCGGCCGGTGCAGGGTCCCGCACGGCACAGGGCGCGTTGGGACCTTCGTGCCCGGCACCCTCCCGGCCCCGGGGATGCAGGGGGGCCACACAGGGCCCCGGGGGTGCAGAGCAGTTGCCGGGGCGACGGCAGCCTGTCCATCCCCTCCTGCAACATGGATACCGCGGTTTCCATGGAAACCGGCCTTTTTTCTCCTTTTTTTTTTTTTTTTTTTAATTTGGCCCCGATTCCACTTCTGCCGCCGCGTCCCTCAATTTGCTTTCAACGTGGCCGCTTTCGGCTTTGCCCCTCGCCGGCGACCCCCGTGCCGGCGGCGCCGGTGCCCGCGGCGCGGTCCGGTCCGGTCCCAGCCCGGCGCTTGGGGAAGCAGTTGCCCCGGCAACAGAAACAGGGCGTTTCTGGCAGAGGTGGTCGCCATGGGGACGGGGATGCTGACGAAGGCTGGCGAGGCTGAGAAGACAAATTGCCCTCATCATTATCTGCGGGCTTGTCAATCAAACATATTCCCTTATTTACCTCGAGGAGGAGAGAGCCCCCGGAGCACACGGAGCGGGAGGGAGCCGGAGGAGAGGCACTCGCACCGCACTCGGCGCCGGGGAGGGAGCGCTCCCAGCCCCGCGGCATGGCCACCATCACCTGCAACCGCTTCACCGAGGAATACCAGCTCTTCGAAGAACTGGGCAAGTAAGTTGGGGAGAGTGCTTGGAGGTGCCGCCTCCGACCCGAGCGACAGGGATCCCTCTGCCCTCCGGAGCTGCCGTGGTGGGAGAGGCAGCGGGATGCAGTGCTTCCAAAGGGCTTGGTGGCACCGTGGGGCTGCGGCAATGGGATCCCTCTGGCAGAGCTGGGGCCTCGGGCAACTCCCGCAGCTGGGAGGAGGGACGGGACAGCGGGAGGTGAGTGGTGCCCCCCGTGTTTCCTTAGGGAAATCCTGTGCGCCACGTCCTTGCGGGAGCCTCCCGGGGAAGCCAGGCAGCTCCGCGGTGGCTGCTCCACATCCATTCCCCTTCCCCATCCCCGTCCCGAAAGTGCAGGGAGCGCGAGCGCCCCGCGGGTGAGTGACTGCCCCCCGGCCGCGGCTTTGCCGGGGTAGCTCCAGTGCCGCGCGGGCCGGACTGCGCCGATCCGGCTGTGCCGGGACCGGGAGCCGCGCGCTGCTCCGGCATGGCACGGAGCACCCGGCTGGAGCTGCGGCCAGGGTACCGCGCGGGCAGCGCGGTGCCCTGCGAGCCGGGGCGCATCGGGGTGCACAAACGGGCAGGCGTTTGCTGACTCCCCAACAAAACCCTGCCGTGGTTTCGGTGCCTCTTCTGCCAAGCAGCCTGTCAGTCTGGGCTGTACGGTACCTGCACACGGGCTCTGGAGCGGCGGGCGCCCGTGCCCGATGCCAGGGCGCATCCCTCTTGTGCAGCCCTGCCCATCTGCAGGCAGGGAAACTTGCTCCAGCTCCGCATCCCCGCATGGTGCTGGGTGAGCCCGTGCCTGGCCGGTGCCCACGCGTGGGTGGGAGGGAGAGGGGAGAGCGAGAGGAAGGGGAGGAAAAACATGGAGAAACCGAGAGGAGCGAAGCGGGGAGGACCGCGTGCCAGGCTAACGCGGTTAATCCTTCCCATGCAGGTGGGAGAACTGGTTGCTGCTGCAAACGCGTGCAGATCTTTGGAAGCAAAGGGCCCCCTGGTCCCGGGATGTGTGAATGTGTCTCTGTGCCCCCTCGGGGATAGCTCGGTGCTTCTCACCCAACTTGGCCGCTGTGTCAGCGCGGGGATGTAGGAGAAGAGCAGGGCAGGGAGCCGGGGTGCGGGTGTGGAGGCCGGCGCTGCTGGGCACGGCTGGCAGGGACGTGAGCGTCCCCAGGGCGCTGGGCTTCGGGAGCTGCTCTTGCAGGCGTTTCGTGGCCCATCTGGACACATCGCAGGGTGGGCAGGAGAGGCGGTGGATGGAGGCCCGTGGGTGCCACTTGGTGGCTCCAAGGGAGGTTGCTGGGACCTGGCCTGGCAGAAACAGCATGAGGAGCGACGGTGCCGTCAGCGACAGTGCCACGGGTACAGCGCCCAGCGCGGCAGCATCCAGATCAGCCCAGAGCCCCAGGGGCTCCCAAAGCACCACCGTGACCGACCTGGTCGAGAGACGCGTTTCTCTGAGCGCACCGTCGCTGAGCAGAACAGCCAGGGAGCAAAGTGGGATGTGCACGCTCCCGCAGAGCCGGGAGCAAAGCGGGACGTGCAGGGCCCATCCCAGCCCCGCAGAGCCGCAGCCCTCGCCAGCCCCCGGGCGCACCCGTCCCTGCGGACACGCAGGTCTCACCTCTCCCTCCTGCGGGGCCCGATGCAGCTCGCAAGCGGCCGCGCAGCAGCAGGGCTGCTCGGTGCCGGTGCTAAGGGCGGCTGCTCAAGCCTCGAGCGTCCTACCGGCTTTTGCCTGAGCCAGGAAGATGCAGGTGCGAGTGCATCTGAGCACTGGGATGTGCTCCTGAGTGAGCTGCAGGCCCCCGTGGGCTTTTCTGGGCACACAAGTCAATGCGCTGCAAAGCTGGTGGGGAATTTTCCACCGGGATGGTTTCCAATGCATCATGTGGCTTCCGTAAGATCAGCAGTTTCCCAGTGGGGAAATTCCCACTTTATGGGCTCCGAGTGGGAAGCCCAGATGCAGCGCTGCGCCGCTGGAGCACAGGCAGGCTCCGTGGTTGGAGGTGCAAGGACCGCCTGGGGGAATGACCCAGGTTCGTGGCGCCCCATCCGCACCCCAAAAGGCAGCAGCGGAGGTGGATGCTGGGGCAGCAAAGCCCCAGCCTCCCGGGTGCCCTGGGGTGATGCAGGAGCTGCAGGGGACAACGTGGGGTGTCCCCAAGCCGGCTGCCCGGAGGGGAGCTGGAGGGACCTGGGGTGACAATGGGAAGAACGAGATGACTCCTATGGTTCAAGTGCAATGAGGACCCAAGGGAGGGAGCAAAGCCCAAACCACAGGGGACTGCGTTGGCCACAATGGCTCTTGTGTCCTAAAAGAAACCCAAGGCTCCGGGAAGATCCCTGACACCTTGCAGAGCTCTCTCCATCACAGCGAGCCAGGGCAGTGTCCGGCTCCTGGTCTGGCACACGGAACCCCCGCATCTTCTCGGCTCAGCTCTCATCCATCCTCACCTGGAGACACCCCCCAGTTTAGGAAGGTGCCACGTAGGTGCTGGCAGCACCGGGTAAGGGGCAGCACTTGGCCAAAGGGCAACGGGGCAGGGGTGGCCCCAGCTCCCAGTGCTGGGTGCTGCAGGGGTCTGCGAGGCCCCTGGGCCTGCAGAGCTGCAGGAGAGGGGGATTTATTAAAAAGACGACAAAGAAGAAAAAGAAGAAATGAAAAGGAACAAAAAATCCCCAGCCCACACGCTTCTCTCTCGAAGGGAGATAAAATGCCTCGGAGGAGGAGGAGGAGGTGTTGAAGAGAGGGAGGGAGGCAGCAGCAGAGCCCGGCGCTGGCGAGGAAGGTGTGAAAGAGGGAAAAGCAGCAGCCGGGGGGGCGCCGGGCTGGGGGGCAGGAGGGGCACCCGGCCCTGCCGCAAGGAGGGTCCCGCCGAGCGCGACCCGGGCGGGCGCAGGGTGACGATGTCGGTGCGGCCGAGCAGCGCGCGGCGCTGAGGCCCCCGCGCTCCCTTCACCTAACGCTGCTGCCCGGGACAGGGGCTGGGCTGCCTCGGGCTGGCACTCCACGGAGCTCAAGCAATGGGGTTTCTGACAGAAAACACCGGGAACCAAAAGGCACGAGGGAAAAGGGACGTGGCAGGAAGCTGCCCTCGCCCCGTGCCGCCCGCGGGAGCCCCGTCCGGCTGCCCGGGGTCGCCTCTTCCCGCAGTGCACGGATGAAACGGGGGTTTCCAGCACGTTGGCCCGCTCCCCAGCACGGGACGAGGAGCCAAGTGCTGTCCGTGTGTGGCCAACCCCGGGGTTTCCTCTCCATCCCCAGGGATGGAGATGTGTCCCGAGCCATCAGCTCCAGCCCCTGCAGCGCAGCCCTGCCATCGGGCTGCAAATCCAGAGCAAAAATCCAAGGATGCGCCCAGCCATGGCACAGAGCACTGCCCTCACTCTCTGCAGGCCTTTCCATAGGCACCAGGATTGCAGGAAAAGAAGAGGAAAAAGAGGCACCTGCAGAGCTGTGGGGCCAGCAACGCCTCCCGGCTTCCCCCGCAGCAACAGGGCTGAAACGAAGCCTCCCTCCTGCCCCCCTTTTCCAATTAAACCTCCCCGCTCCAGGCTGCGGGGATATTAATAGTCCAGCCTTTCCAGTGGCCACGGTGCCTCGCGGGCTCCCGCAGGAAGCGCCGCTCGCTGCCCTGCTCCCACTCCTGCTCCCGGCCGCGCTGCCACTCGGCACGTGGCGCGTGCCACGAGGGGCGCGGGGCCGCCTGCCGCCCCGAGCCGCCCGTCCCGTCCCGTCCCGTCCGCCCCCGCCGCTGGGAAATCAATTAGGCGCCGCGGGCAGCCGGAGCGCGCCGGCCGCGGCCTTTCATTCCCTGCCATTTAGCGGGAGCGCACGGGCGCAGCGGGGCCGAGGTGGGCCGGGAGGTGGGGTTGCTTTTCATAGCTATTATTTGAGCGCGGCGATGGGCTCGGCAGGCACGGGCGCTGGGTACAAAGGTTGTGCTCTGCGCGCGGGCGTTGCGGCGTGGGCATTTGTGCGCAGCACGGGCTGCCGTGCTCGGCGCCAGGCGGCTCCGTCGGTGCCACGAGCTGGCGGGGCTCAGCAGAGCACGTGGCGGCCGCCCCCGCGGCGCCGAGCGGGGCGCCTGGGCTGCCGCGGGGTGCTGCTCGTGCCGGGAAGGCGGCAGCGCGATGCCGGGGCGCACGTGCGGCCAGGAAAGCCCCGCGCGTGAGCGGCAGCCGCCTGAGTCACCGTGCCCGGGTGCACGGGTCCCTGCTGTGCGCAATCTGCACGGCATCCTGCAGCCCGGCGCTCAGGCGGGATGCCTGAGCATCCTGCAACTTGGTGATCCGCCTGAGTGCCAGAGCATCCTGCAGCCCAATCCAGCAGGCGGGATGCCTGAGCATCCTGCGACTTGGTGATCCGCCTGGGTGCCTGAGCATCCTGCAGCCCAATCCAACAGGCGGGATGCCTGAGCATCCTGCAGCCCAGTGTGCAGGATGGATGCTTGAGCATCCTGGTCCAGCAGGCTGGATACCTGAGCATCCTGCATCGTGGACCAGCAGGCTGGATACCTGAGCATCCTGCAGCCTGGTGCTCAGGTTGGATTCTTGAGCATCCTGCAGTCCAGTGCTCAGGCTGGATGCCTGAGCATCCTGCAGCCTGGTGCTCAGGTCCCCTGACATCTGACAAGGGGTCCTCAGGGTCCCCTGTCCCCCTAGATCCTGGAGGGGAGAGGGGACTTCTTGGCTGCTTCTTGCACTGTCATGCCGTGCCAAGCATGCAAGGACATAGGGACACCGAAGTTAAGTACCTGGGTGCTGTGTGACAGCTATGTCCATTTCTGCTGCTCCTCGGGAGCCAACATCCCTGCTAAAGTGCTGCTATTTCTCCTGAGATGATGGATGAGGCTGCATGGAGAGGAGGGAAGGTGTGAATGTGCCTGGCAAGCAGGGAGCAGAGGGTGAAATGCTGCCTTCATCCCTCCACATCACCCCTTTGCATCCGTGTCTTCCCAGGGGCGCTTTCTCCATCGTCCGGAGATGCGTGAAGGTGCTGGCAGGACAGGAGTATGCAGCCAAAATCATCAACACCAAGAAGCTCTCTGCCCGAGGTGGGTGCGAGGGGGAAACGTCAGGGATGCTGCAGGGCTGGGGCGGCTGGGACGGCGGCTGGGCAGGGGAGCCGGAGCGGGACGGGGTGTCCTTGCTGCGTCCATGTGCACATGCTGTGTCCATGGGCGTCCAGGAGCGGGTGTTGGATGTGCTGCAGGAGGCCCCTGTTTGCACCGCGACAAATCTGAGCTCCGAGCTCCGTAAGGTTTGGGAGCCAGAAGTCTGGATGTCTCCTGGCTGTCTCCAGGGTCTTGAGCCTTCGCCCTTTCCTAAGCCCCCACAAAGGCCCTGGTGTCCCTGGGGACGCAGGTCTCCAGCAGCGGGAGCAGACCCTGCTCTTCCTCGCCTTGTCCTCCTCGTGGCGCCACGGGCAGAGCGGGAGCGGGCGCCCTGCCGCGCTGCTCGTGCTCAGGCTGCCGAACCCTGCGCCGAGCAGGAGCCGGTGCAGCGGGATGGGGACCAGCGGGATGTGCTCCGGAGATGGGGAGGAAGCCTGGGGGAAGGCAGGGCCATGAGGAGGCTGCTCCTTGGGGCAAGTCGCTGCGAAGCAAAGGTTCATGCTCTGCATTCTGCCTTTCTCCATCTTCCTCCTCACAGCTCTTCGTGCTCACCCCTGCAAGCGACACCTCTCCAGGGTTATTTTACCTGCTCTGGAACCACCAGCCTCCCTTGGCAGCAGCCCAAATCCTCCCAATTTGCCAACGCTAAGAGGGGAGAATGGCCTTTTTCAAGGCCAGGATCAATCCCCAAAGGGGCACGATGGCCCCTGGGCTGGCTCCCTGTCCCCTGCAGAGGACATGGAGGGACCGTGCGCAGGGATGGAGCGTGGGAAGGGACCTGCCCGGGCACAGGCTGCCAACATGGAGAGAAACCAGAGCTTTTGGAAGAGAAGTGGGTTCAGGGTCCAGGCTGTGAGAGGCCAAGCGAGTTTTGAGCAGGGAGGAGCAGGGCCGAGGCTATGCCTGGCTCCCCACAGCTGGGCTTAAACGTGGTGCACGGAGCAGAGGATGCTCCGGAGCTCCCGCAGCTCCCGGGGCCTCGCGGCACCAGGAGCCCCGGCCAAGGCTGTGTCAGCCCCTCGCTGGGCACCAACATGTGGGTTTTTCCACATCCCTGCACGCAGCGGAGGGGAGGCTGTGCCTAGGGAACATATTCCCCGTGCCCAGCACTCCCAAGAAATAAGCCCGGGGGCGATTAGCCTGCATTAGCTCCACAGGCACCAGCCCACGGCTGTTGGCTTGAGCTGCAAATATCCCAAGCTGAGAACCAAGAGCCATTAGCTAACAAACACTGGGGAAAAGAGGAGACAGCAGGAGGGAAAAAAAATCCAGGCAAGGAGAAGTTCTGGGGCTATGGAATGGCAAAGATCCCAGATATCCAGCAGTTCAAAGCAGGCTGGACAGAGGGGAGGGAATTGCGCCCTGGGGAAGCGCCTGTGCAGCCTTGCCGTGTGAGCAGCCGCAGATCCCCAGATTCGGTCAGACACGGAGCGAGACTCCGGGGTGTGAAGCAGGCAAGGCAGTGATGATAACGCCGAGAGACGAGCAGCCCTAATTATATCCTCGCTTCTCCCGGCTGCTGGGTTCCCGCTATCATGAAATGCGCTCAGGCAAAACTGCAGCGAGAAGGCACCTCCGTGTAGGAAGGCTGTTTCACGTCTAAGGAAAACAAAGAGAGGCAGAAAGAAAGAAAATGAAATGAAAATTCATCCTGGGCTGCCCCAGCAGGGAGGCTTTCCCGGCTGGGCCGTGGGAGCCGCATTGCTCCCTCCAGCCCGCTGCATAGCGGGGACAGGGACCGGTGATGCCCTAATTGAATGAGGTGTCTTGCTCCATATCCTGGCCTGTCCCTAGTGCTGGGAATTCCACAGAAAGGTGCCCTTGGGGGCAGAACCTCGTGTCCAGGGATGGGCCCGCACCTCATGGAGGGCACAGGAGCTCGGTCAGCGTTTGCTCCTTGCCAAATGTGCGTCCCCCTGCGCCCCAGCTCTAACCCTGGGGAGGATGGAAATGGGCTTCCTCCCTGCGCCAGAGGCACTAACCCACGGACGTTGCTTCTTTCAGACCACCAGAAGCTGGAGCGGGAAGCTCGCATCTGCCGCCTCCTCAAGCATCCCAACATAGGTAGGTGCGCGCCGCTCGGAGCCAGCGCCGGGCACGTGGAGCCGGGAGTGGAGCGGGCCCTTCCCACCCTGCTGGGCGCCTTCCCACCCCACCGGGCGCCTTCCCACCCCGCTGGGCACCTTCCACTCTCCAGCCCCTCCACGGGGCCGAGCCTCGCGGCTCCCATCAATAATTCAGGGCTGCCTGCGGCAGCAAGGGCTGCTCCTCCATCTCTGCGGGGAGGGATGCAGGACTTGGCCTGAGGGGCTTCACGGCAGCCTTGGAGCTGATGCAGAGAGCGGGACCTGCCTCCCCAGCCTCCTCTTCCTCATGCATCTTCAAACGGGGTCACCAGAAGAAAGGCCGATGTTTAAGTAGGTCCCAGCTAACCCACTTGGCCGTGCCTCCCCACGGGGCCGCGGGGCTCCGGCAGGCTGCAAGGGGGCTATTTTTACCCTTGGCCGGCACCGCGGCTCCCTCATCCCGCTGCAGGCTCCAGAACGAGGCGCCGGCGCGGAGCAGCCGGGAGCCGGGCGCGTGGGAGGAGCGGAGCTGCGGGGGGACGCGGAGACGGTCCCGCCGGCCGTCCATCTGAGAGGAGCCTCCCTCGGAAAAGCTGTTTCAGGAAAACTCCTGAGCCCCTGCAACAGACAAAAATAGGACAGAAGGAGAACGAGGGGAGGGGGTAAGCTGCAGGAAAAATCCCAAATCCCGGCATTGGCCAGGTTGCTGATGGACACTGTTGGGAACGCAAAGCCAGGGATGTGCTTGTCTCGAGGGGCTCCTGCTGCTTTAGGGAGAGGGATGCATGGCAGGATGGGAGCCCAACAACCCCAAAGAGCAGCAGGGAATGCCTTGGATGGAGCTTTCCCTTGCAGACCCCGAGGAGGTCCCTTGTCACCAAGAGCAGCCACCTCGCTCCCCTCCTGGCGCTGGATGTGCGTGGCTCCCGCCTGATAAATCTTTCAGACGCTGAAAAGCCTGTCAGCTTCAATATGTCCTGGGCAGACACCCCCATGGCAGCTCCAGGTCCCCTCCGTGCAGCCGGGCTCCAGGGCTGGCAGGATCCAGCCGCAATCTGGGACAACGAGGTTGTCATTAGGCACCTGCATCCCTCTGGCCTTGGTCCCCAACCCTATGTCCTCTCTAGGAGCTGGCCACACCGAGCTGCTTTTTTCCTGGGATTTCCCTGTGTAAAATGGCACTGGGCTGCACAGGCTCAGCAGCCCTGCATGCAGGAGTCCCTGCGGGTCTTTGGATGTTCACAGGACCCTTCCCAGGATGGGAGCACCTTGGCAGCTGGTGCTTCCCTAACTCCCAGCCCAGGATTGCTGCAGATTCAGGGATGACCACAGCATTTCACCCCATCCTCCTCCAGCTGAGCCCCTTAGCAGGGTATTTCAGCAGCACTTTCTCCTTGGCCCTTTTCCTCTGTCTCTTCACCCTGATCCCTTCACGCCCCAGCCATGGGCAGACTCCCATTGCTCTGCTCCTGCCCCACACCAGGCATTGCCGTTGAGCTCCCTCAGAGCAGCTGCACCAGAGAGGCCCCAGCTGGAAGGGGGTAAGGGCAGAAGCTGCTAAGGGGCCCAGCCAAGCTGCTATTTATACACAGGAGGCTCTTCTTTTCTCTCCTCACCCTCTTTCCTGCCCCTGGCCTCGGCCCTGCTCTTGCTGGCTGGATGCTCAGGCGAGCTGCTTGCCTTGCGAGCAGCACTCTGCCCTGCGAGCAGGCTGATTACCCACCGAGGAGCTGGACGAGCCGCCCCGCTGCAGGCCAGCGCTAACGAGGACACCGCGGCCCTGCTGCCGTAGGCTGCACAGGGAAGCAGGGAGAAGGGAGGCTGGGGCTCCTCGCTGCACCCAGGACATTCCCCCTGCAGCAGCTCTTCACCTACTCCATGTCCTGTGGGAAGAGCATGTCCCACAGCTGGGAACCCCAAGGAGACGCTGCCAGAGCTGCTCCCCTCCCCGCATGGGAGGTTTGCGTTGGAAAGCTGCATCCCCCAGGTTTGAGTGCCTGCAGCCAAGCCATGGTTCAGGATAACATTTTGGGGAAAAATGCAGTTTTTGGCCGTCTGCAGTTCTGCAGTGACGCTCTCCCTCCACTCCTCCTGCGCCTGAGCACTGAAACTCCATCCCGCTCTTTGCTCAGCTGCTGGCACTGGAGCCAGCGCGGCCGGGCACGACCCTCCCGGCTGGCTCGGGGTGGATGACGCTCGCACCGGGCTATGTTTGGAGAGGCCGCGGCCTGTCAGAGCTGCTGGGGCTTCCCCAGGCTGTTCGGTTATAGCTGCAACGGCCCAGTCCTTCCTGAGCAAGTCTAATCCTCTGCTGAACGCTTCGGAGTCTGCAGCATCCTGGGAACAACACTCCCAAATCCCTGTCCGCTGAGACAAAACGTGGAGGAAATTGGCTTCTTCTAACACAGGAAGGCCAAAAAGCTGGGATTAAGCGTAAAAGGAGAAAATGCTGAGCAAACGCAGGTGTCTGAGTGCAGGCGTAAGGTCTGTGGAGGCCGGCAGTAGGGAAGCAGGGGGAATAGCCACTAAATAAGCCGAGCAGCCCTGTGTCGTATTCAGGGCCACAGAGGAGACCCAAAGGACGGGCGCAGTCAGGCACAGCAAGCTGCTGCTGCTGCTGCCCGTTATTCTGGAAGAAATTGGGCCGAGGGGTGACGTGAGCGCTGCCGCCAGGAAGGGCATTGCAGAGCCCTGGGCAGCCCGGGGCTCTGCTGCTGGGGATGCCTGAGCTTAATGACTTAACCCTTAATTAGCTGGAGCTCCTGAGACCTCTGCGTGGGCAGGGGGTGATTTTTTGCAGGCATTTTGCTGTTCTCCAGATTTCCTCTCTGCTTGTGAGCGTTCCCTTTCCCTGTGTGCTCTTGGCAGCTGTGGGATCTGCCTGCTGTGTTTTGGGCACCCTGGTTCTGCTGGCACCAGCATCGGGGCTTGTTATTTCTGCTGGCTGTCTCAGGCTTGAGAGTGAAGGATGTTTCCCACTGATGTAGCTGCAGTGAAATCATCCAGGAGCTAAAGCTTGCACACAAATATTTACCTGATAGGTTTTTTTTCCCCTGACCTGTTTTCATGTACAAATCTGGAAGTTGTGTTGTACTGAAACCAGCTGATGAGTGGGAAAGGGTTAAATACAGCTGCAAAGAAACCAGAGCAAGATGTAAGATTCTGGGGCAGGTGATGCTGGATGCTGCTCTAATTTACATGCTGGGCTTTTTTTTTTTTTTTTTTTTTTTTTTATCTGTTCTGCCTTATTTCTGTGCCTTTCCCCTTGCTGTGCATCTGACTGCCAACCTGTGAGCAGGGAGCTAAGTGCAGGTGTGAGGAATTGGGCAAAAGACTGGCAGGTTTCTGCTCTGTGCTGCCCTGATTGGGGGGCAGCACCTTTGAGCGCCCTGAGCCCAGGGGGAGGCGAGCGGACGGGCAGGGAGAGGGATCCTTCCTCCGAAGGAAACTCATCCCTCGGTGATTCCCGGGCATCCCCGGCATGAGAAGTCCCAAGGAGAAAAGGAAGGTCGTGAAAGGCGAAGCCTGCGCTGCTGCCAAGGGCCTGGCAGCAGAGCGGCTTGGCTCCTGATCCAGCTCCGATCCCGGCACAGACGGAGAGCGCTGCTGTGCTCGGAGAGCCCCGCATGGCAGTGCTCCCTTTGGGCATGGCCATGGAGCCTTGCATCCAGGCAGGGGCATTCCCAGGGAGCTATTCCAGACAGAGCAGGGAGGGGAAGGAGCCATGGCCCTTCCTGCTGAGCCCGAGGGGAGCAAAGGCTCTGCTAGCAGCCAGGAGAGCTGTGTGGGAGCTGGGAATAACCTATGGAACATCGCGCTTCTGTCTCTGCTGCAGTGAGACTCCATGACAGCATCTCCGAAGAGGGTCACCACTACCTGATCTTTGACCTGTGAGTAAAAGCTGTGGTTAAACCTGTGGTTAAAGCCAGCCCTTAATCCACGGTGAGCTGTTTCCCCCCTGCAGGCTCTCCGAGCCCTATAGCACGATGCCTCAGACCCAGGGCTGGTGCAAAACCACATGCCCTGCATGACCCATCCAAATCACACATCCCTTTCCACCTTCCCCATCCTCCCCCTTGCAGCAGCCTCCCCAGCACGAGGCGTTTGAGCCGACTGCGCTGGCTCTGTGTCCCCAACCCACACGAGCACAGGCTGCTGATTCCTGCCCAGCATCCCAGCTCCATGGGGGCTGTTCCCGTGGGCTGAGCGCGGTGCAAAGCAGCCGTGTGGCATCAGGATCCCTGTGTAACTCTGCTTTGCTCCAGGGTCACAGGCGGGGAGCTCTTTGAGGACATCGTGGCCAGAGAGTACTACAGCGAAGCAGATGCCAGGTGAGCAGGGGAGATGCCAGGTGCCGCAGTCGGGAGCATGGCAGTGTAAATGTGCTGTGATCCCTGACATTCCCCTTCACACCTCCATTAGTTATTTGCAAGCATTTCTCTGGCATTTAGCACTCGGAAGCACTAATGAGGAGCAGGCAGGCCAGGCTGGGTGTGAGGACAGGCTCTAGCTGCTGTCCCTCCCACTGCTCGTCTTTGGCCACCCCTTTGCTTCTATGAGCTTGGAGAGGGGGACAGCATTTCACTGAGGGGATGTGACTCGACCAAGGTCACCTGTGCTGCCTGGGACAGCTCTTGGTGTCCCTAGCTCCTGCTGTGCCCTGGCTCTGCCCTCTGCGTGTGGGGTAGCCCATGCAGGGGATGGTGAGCACGGCTGGCACGAATGTCCGAGCGGCGGTAAACTCTGCACTGCCTCCGCATGCATGGAAAATATCCCCTATTTATAGGCCTAAAGTGATCTCCTTATTTAATGTTCTGCCTGCTCTCAGTCCACATACAACCTATCCACTTATTAGTGTCATATAAATAAATTAAAATACATGTAAATAAAGACCTTCTGCTTGGCAGACAGCTGTTTGGGAGGGGAAGCGCTCATTGCCTCATTCTTTTTCCCTTCCTTTCTCATGCATGCAGCAGAGCCAGGGTTTAATGAGCTATATATAAAGTGAGCAGACACAGCGAGAGCCACCTGCATTAGATAAGACGAGGGAAATGGGGCTGAAGTAAAGGCTCGCTTTGTGTCGGCAGAGCTCATCTGCTCTGCCGGGTGTCAGAGCCCGGATCTGGGCTCGTGTCGTGGTGGAGCTGCCAGCTCCAACTCCCCCAGCGCCTCCGGGAAGGCGCTCTGGGCTCCCAGGCTCCGGCAGTGCGCGGGGGATGGATGCAGAGCGAGCGGCCGGGATACAGCCGCTTCCCGGGCTGTGGGTGTGCAGCGTTCGGCAGGGAGGGATGGTGCTGGGATGGGGCGACGGGCTGGCGCGTGGTGCTGGAGGATGAGATGTAGGCGAATGGATGTGTCTGTTTTCTCCTTCTCTCACGCGCAGCCACTGCATCCAGCAGATCCTGGAAGCCGTCCTGCATTGCCACCAGATGGGGGTGGTACATCGGGATCTGAAGGTGAGAGCGGCGGCGGAAGGGCCTGTGGGATGTGGGGACCCCATCTGTGGTGCAAAAGCCCAAGGAGTAATGTCCAGAGGAGCCCTGCTCTGACATGCCCTCTGGGCCAGCTGAAACACTGCAAAAAATATCGGGAGTAGAAGCTTTGGGAAAGCCACAGAAAACAGGCAACCTACAGGGCTTAAAGATAGAGGGGAGAGAAAAAAATAAGATATTTCTAGTCCAAGGTCCTCTAAAGAGCTAGTTTTCCTCCCAGGAAGATGCAGCTTGTGCCTCTGAAATGTCTTGCTATGGAGAGAGGCAGATGGGACAACCAGGGAACAGGGAAGTGCTCCTGGATGGGATGGGGAATGGCTGCAGTGCATATTGCAAAGCTTCCCATTTCCTGGGAACAGCAGAGCACAGAAGAAGGGAAGAGGGCAGCGTGTGCAGGCAGGAGCGCCCTGATCCTCTGGCATTGCCGCAGTGTCCCCCTGTTGTCACACCACGAGCCTGGCTGCAACAGGCCGAGCTCGTGTCTGGTCCCTGTGCCCCAATTTCTCCCCCTGTAAACCACAGGCCTCCATGTGCTGGATCTCCTGTTGCTGCGGTGCTGAGACACAGCAGGACGAGCTAATTGGGAGGCACTTACAGAGCCCTGGCCTCCCCAGGCCCATGCTGGGAATCTCCCGCACGGCTCCGTTGCAGCTCATGGCCAGGTGGTTTGAACACACAGCGGGAGGCTGCAGTCACAGATCTCCCAACCTTTGCTTTCTTCTGCAGCCGGAGAACCTGCTGCTGGCGTCCAAGCTGAAAGGAGCAGCCGTCAAGCTGGCCGACTTCGGCCTCGCCATTGAGGTGGAGGGGGACCAGCAAGCGTGGTTCGGTGAGTAGCAACGGCCCCAAGGTGGGTTGTTCCCCAGCCCTCTTTGGCACGCGTGGTGAAGTAGGGCCAGCAACGCCCAGGAGGCTCCGGGACAGGCACATGTGCCCAGGTCCTAAACACTGAGTTATGAGAGCGCCCTGGCAAGGGCACAGCAGGGGAAGAGCAGTTCGAAGGCTCCTGCTGTGCCCTCGAGCCAGCCCGTGTATTGATCCAGGACACCAGCAGCCAGCTCAACAGGGACACAGTGAGTCACCAAGGTGCTCTGGAGAGGCCACAGGCTGGTGGTATGGGCAGAGCCGGGGGAGGAAATCCTCCTTTGGGTGCTTGAGGCATGTGGATGTCCAGGAAATGGGGACTGGCTCGGCATCCCTGTGATCCCCTACACCGACCCATCAGCTTGTGATGTGCCAGGGCAAAGGGCTGTCCCGCAGTGTCTGCCGTTAGCCAGGCACTGCCAGCACATGGTGCTGCGATGGGCTCCGTGACCGAGGCGGTGACGGGATGTCTCTCCGTGGTCACTAGGTTTTGCCGGCACACCGGGATACCTCTCCCCGGAAGTGCTCCGAAAGGATCCCTATGGCAAAGCTGTGGACCTGTGGGCTTGTGGTAAGTCGGACTGCAGCTGGAAGGTCAGGATTGAATGCACAGTCACCCCGGGCACTGCTGTGGGTGCCAGGCCAGAGTGTTCAATGTGCAGGAGCTGACGCTTGCATGCAGCTGTCCCCGGAGCAGCACCCTCTTTCCCAGCCAAGTGGCTCTCATCACTGATGGACCAGCCTCCTTCCTCCACACGCGAAGCCCTGGAATGTGGAACCAGGCCACTGTATCCGCAGGGAGCTTCGTGCTCCGCAGTGCGGAGGAGCCCTCCCAGTGTGCGGGGCTCGCACGTGTGCGTGTGGGTGCCTGCATCAGCTGCCTTCCTCCCCAGCTGCCCAGCACGGGAGCATGGAGATGGCCTGGCTTTGTCTTGTTAATTAGGGAACAAATTGCCTTCCTTAAAACTCCCTTTCTCTCCTGGAGCTAGAACTGCCCCCAGTTTGGGTCCTGCAGCAATATAAATTCTTTGCCACTTACCAGCACCCAAACCATATCTGTTCTTCCTCTCTTGGACAGGAGTCATCCTCTATATCCTGCTGGTTGGGTACCCTCCCTTTTGGGATGAAGACCAGCATCGCCTCTATCAGCAGATCAAGGCTGGTGCCTATGATGTGAGTGTGTTTGCCTTCCTCTTCTTGTGTGCTGTCCCCACTCTGCTGCTGCCCCCTCGTTGCAGTCTGCTCAGATGGACGTGAGCTTTTTCCCACTGCTCTGCTCAGAGCCCAAACCACCCTTGTCCACAGCAGTTGTCCAGGCACATGGTACAGGACACACAGGTGTTATCCCTGCCCTTCTTTGCTTCACCCTCTGCCCCTGCTCTGCTCTTCTTTTCCAGCTGGCAGCTCTTTCCAGTAAATTCCTTCACCCAACCCTGTCCTGTGAGCAGATCCTGCTGCATTTGGGAGGTCTGAGATGAGCTTCTGTTTCCACTGCTTGTCCCCTCTTCTCACCTTGTTCTTGTTGCCTTGGCAGTTCCCTTCCCCAGAGTGGGACACGGTCACTCCTGAGGCAAAAGATCTCATCAACAAGATGTTAACCATAAACCCGTCGAAGCGCATCACAGCAGCAGAAGCTCTAAAGCACCCCTGGATATCGGTGAGCTGGTGGGAAAGGCTAGACATGGTGGGCGGTGGAGGGACACGAGGGCAACCCCCCCAGTGCTAGCACAAGTATCTCACATCCACGGCTGGGAGCAGGGCGTGCAGTGCAGGTGCAGCAGCCCATGAGTCTTGCAGCCCTGTTGCTCACCCCTCGGAGCTGGGATCAGCTCCAAAGGGCAGGAATACCCTGGGAACTTGTACCATGGGCAGACCCCAAGACTCCTCACCACACATCCAGGCAGCTTGGGTGCAAACTCGGGACACCAGGAGCATTCCCTGCGAGCATCCACGCAGCCAAGCGAGCGCCTTCTGACTCAAGAGCCGGCAGCTCCTGCTGCCTATTAAAGTTTTATCTGCTGCTGCTGCTGCCGCACGCAGCCGTGGCCGACGCCGGAGCCGCAGGAGACAGCACACGTGTTCGTGTGTGTGAGAGCGGGGATGCGCTCCCGCCACGCTGCGCTCGGCCTCCCTCTGCCCCTCTCCTCTTCCTCCCTCCCTGAGCTGAGTGTCTGTCTCTCCTCAGCACCGTGCGACCGTGGCATCATGCATGCACAGGCAGGAGACCGTGGACTGTCTGAAGAAATTCAATGCCCGGAGGAAGCTGAAGGTAACTCTTACGTTCTCCTTTCCAAGCTGGCTAGGAAAGGCATGGCCAGATGGTTTGGGGGGTTGTTGTCTGAGTGGAAAAGGGCAGAGTGCCTCTCTGGAGAGGGTTTGCGTTGATGTGCATTGGGGATCTGCTCCAAAGGACGGAAGAGGTCAGTGGGTGCCAAGGGCTGCACCAGGAGCTCCATTGCCTGGGGAAAGGCTGCCCTAAGGCCGAGCACTGAATTGCATAGCAAACTGTTGCCAACCAGGATAAGGATGTTTCCCCTTGGGACAATGTTAGACACAGATGTGAGCAGCACAGCAAGACCCTTTGCCTGATGTGGGAGCCAGACGAGCCGCGTTGCACCCAGGGAGCAAGCAAAGTGGAGGCAGGCAGGCTCAAAGCTGAGGCAAGGCTGACCTGTCACAGCAGCCCCACAGACCTGCCCTTGCTGAGTGCTATTGTATTTGACCTACCCTAAAATCCCCCTGAGGAGCTCAGACCTGTGGCTACTTGACTGTGTTGGTGGCAGCCTGCTGGGAACTGGCTCCGGACTGGTTTGAAAGGGAATGCTCCCACTGGAGCCAGCATCATCCATCGCTTTCCGCAGCTTTTCCTGGCTGCAGGGGGGCTCTGATCTGCACTGGAGTTGGACCCGCTCCTGTTTCAGGCCTGAATGCACTGTGGCACTAAGCAGTAGAGCCACAGGCTGCTAACAAGATTATCAAGAAAAGAAACCAGCTATAAACTATTATTACCTTTCAGCTAGACAAGTAATCAAATTAGTTCAGGCATGTACTTCAAAATAGTAATCCATTACTGTGACTAATTAGTCTGAAGTAATCTCATTATACACTAAGAAACTAGTTAGTGGAGTCAGTTGGAAGAGGGGAAATGTTTTTATAAACATTATCTTGCAGTGTTTTTCTTTGCCACCGTGACAAATCCCCACCCCGCTGCTGTTAGCAGCACAACTTTAATTACAATTAAATTCAGGTCTGCTCCCACTGACTCCCCACCACCCAGCTGCCCTCCCGGCTCCATGGTGTCCCTGTCCCTCTAAGGCAGAACGAAACCGAAATCTGCCCCAGGATATTTAATATCCCTTTAATCTCGGAGGGAAGGCAGGTTCAGAGGATGCAACCCAGCGCGCTGGCATTGCAGTTAAGGAGTCAGGTACCAGGGCTGGTTTTGATGGCAGAAGGGAACTGCTGCCCCGTGGGCCCATCCCTCCCAGCAAAGCCTCAGAAAGATGATGAGTGGGGCCTTCTTCCCGGTGGGGACAGTGTGGGCAAGTGCAGTGTGCCAGGGCCTAGTGCTCCTTTCCCTCCTGCTTTTTGTGTGTTTCAGGGTGCAATCCTCACCACCATGCTGGCCACGCGCAACTTCTCCGGTAGGTGCCATCTCCCGAGCTCCCACCCTGGCTTTGCCCTTGGGCTGTGCCGAGGGGCTCCGGGAGGCCCGTCTCGCCCTGGAGCTCGCCCAGCGCTGCTGCCTCCCTCTGCCCCTCCTGGTCCCCAGGGCCTGTGGAGCTGCGGATGCAGCCTGGGGAGACCTGGGCCGGGCAGGAGAGCACCTTGAGGCTCGTGGCTGCCTTGGGGTGCCTGGGGAAGGGGTTTGTTTGGAGGTGTCCCCTGAGGTTTGGGACGTCAGGGCTTGTGCGCAGCCGCTCGTGTGGGAGTGTGGGCAGGCTGGGTCCTGCCAGGAGCACTCCCTGGCGGGAAGCTTTAGTCCCCAGGGTAGCACGGCGATGCCCATGGGAGCTGCCTGGCTGGCAGCATGTGCAGCCTGTGCCACGGGGCAGGCCCTACAGCAGCCCCAGTGGGAGCTTCCCCCTCCTCTGGGAATACTGGGCTGTTGGAACCGAGCCTGGCAGCCAGGCTTGTCTATTTCTAGGTGATTTCACCCCAAAAGGAACCAACTGAGCATGATGCTAGTTCCCTCCTCCAACCCACCCCAACCCTTGGTGCCCCAGACCTGCCCCAACTCGTATGCACCATGTGTCCCCTGATGCACCACAGTTTGGGCCAGGCTTCATGGATGGGCAGCTCACGGCAGGGCCTGGGCTGGGCCAAGGAGAAGCAGAAGGGGCGTTTTGGGTGGTTCCGACAAGGCATCCCAGGAGCTGTGGTTCACAGCAGGGGCGTGCGGGGCTGCTGGGCCCAGCGAGGCGCCGTGGGGAACGCTGAGGCTCGCCTTCGGCATCCGCATTTGTCACCGGGCGCTCGCGCCGACACATTTAGCCCCTGTGGGCAGCCCGCGGCGGGGCTGCAGGACTCCAACAGCTGGGGGGGATCCGGTAGCAGGCCTGGGAGGGGAGGCGCATCAGGCACGGAGCATCAAAGGGCAGGAAATTCGGCCGCCCCTTTTCCCAGACCCACACTGGCTCCCGGGATCCGCAGCTCCAGCCCCGGGGACACGTGGCTCCAACCCTGGGTGCATGGCTGGGTTGGTCCCTGGGGACTCGGGACGCCCCGGGGAGCCGGGGCGAAGGCGGCCGCTGTAGGTGGACGCTGGGGAAGGCGCCTGCTTTCCGTCATGGTCAAAATGTGCGCGGCAGCTGTCGGGCTGGCGGGCCGGCACCACATGATCCCGCAGCGTGGGGCTAAAATTAGAGGGCGGCGGGCGGAGAGGCCATTCCTCGGAGCCGCCTCGTTAGCTGGCAGTGCCTGTCCAGAGCTGGGGTCCTGCCAGGGAGCCCCACGTCCCCCACGCTCTGTCCAGAGCCCCCAGCCTCCTCGTGCGATCCCAGCTTGGTTTAACGGGCCGTGCCTGTGGTGGAAGGGCCAGAGCCCTGGAAGAGCCAGCGAGGTGGCCCCTGAGCACTGGGAGCTGCACAGAGAGGTCGCAGGCGAGAGGAAGAGTCCGGTGCCTCGTCCCGGGGCGTCCCCCCATCTGGCATCATGCTACTCATCCTCGGCCTGCTGGTGCTGGTGCCCTGCCTGGCTCTGCTCACCTCCTTCCTCCTCTCTCCAGGAGGCAAAAGCGGCGGCAACAAGAAGAATGACGGCGTGAAGGTAAGTGCTCCGGCTCCGCTCCCTCCGGCTGCAGCGGGGCGGCCGGGTCCCGCTCCGCCGCCACGGCCGCGCTTGAAAGGGAAGTTGTTGGCCTGGACCTGGAGCACGTCCCGGGCCCTGGCGTGCCCGTCCCGGTGGGGAGAGGAAATGTAGAGGTGGTTTTGGAGCGTGGTGAGCACAGGGCCCAAGCTGCTGCTTCAGCCTGGGAGCAAGAGGGGCACGCGGGGAGAGTTTTCTTTATTTGACCCAAAAATGTGTGTGCCCCGTGCTGCCTCTGGAGGAGAGAGGCTAATGGAGAGAAGGCAGCTTTGTACTTGAGCTCAGGGGCTGCCACTTCAGGCTGACAGAGTTGTTCAGGGAGCAGGGTCACTGCATCTCCGTCTTGCAGGGGTCCCACATCCCAAGAAATGCCCAGATGGAAGAGCTGGGGGATGCCGGCCTCTTCCTTGTGGCTCTGTCCCAGCTGGAGTAGGGCTCTCCCTGCAAAGCTCCAATCCTGACTACTGCCCTCCAAGCCCCCCATCCCTGGTGGCACTTGAGTGTATTGAACTCTTCTAGCCCTGCTCCCAGTCCCAAGCCCTCAGTTCAGAGCCAGAAAGGACATACCTGTGTGGCAGTGCACCATAAATGATGTGCTTGGAGGGCCATGATCTTGGGCTGCAAAAAGTGCTGCAGATTTGGCTACCTCTTCGCTTGTGGGCCACAGCTCTGCTCGGGGATGAAGTGGGCTCTGGGCAACAGCTAAAACCTGCCTACTCAACAGCTTGTTCTGACGATAGAGATGTGATGATTGGAGAGCTCTATCTTTCTTTTCCACAAGGGAGTTGCCCATGTAAAGGTCGTTCCTTACATATTCTCTAGGCCTCATGAATACCACCAGCTCGTGCTCAGCTGCTGAGAAGTTGTATGATTACATCTTGCATCACGATGCAAGTCATGAGCCTTGGGTGCCTGCTTGCAGCAAGGCCTCTCTTCTTACTGAGACCTTCTGTAGGAACCTGGTATTGAGTTGTGGGAAGCACCAGATTCTGGAAGAGCAGAGCTCTCAGCTGGCTTCTGCTCTCCTTGGTCCAATGTGCAGTGAAGCCAGAAGTCTGCTGGTGAATTGTTCCTCTCCCACTCCTTCCAGCCCCAGTGGCTCCAAACCTGAGAACTGACCACGTGGAGCAGACTGAGTGCGAGTTGGTGGAGTGTAGGTGAGAGCAATCAAGAGGTGCTTTATTAAGTTGAAGGACACAGGCTTCATCAGGTATGGTCCTGAATTTAATTTTCCAGCAGAAGGAGGCAGGCTTAAATTTCATTTCTAGCATGGCAGGGATGGGAATGGTGTTAGAAGACCATTTAACGTCCAACACGCCCAATGTGCTAATGGTGCTCTCTCTTAGCCTTGGCAGTAGCTTGAGGGTAAGTGTTATCCTGGAAATAGTTGATTTGAGTAATGCCAAGGAATACCCAGGAAGAGGAACGCAACGAAGGCGGAGGAAGGCTCATTCCTAACAGGTAGCTTGCTTTGACCATCTTCAGCATTAGTTTTTCCACATCTCCTTGTCCTGCTCAGCATGGAGGGACTGGCAATGTAAATATTTTGTGGGAGCACAAGAAGTGTGACAGGGAAGCTCATTTTTTCTGGAGGAAGCTTTTATGACCCAACATGGGCAGCTGGCAGAAGTCGTTGGATTTGTTTCTTATCCTGGAAAAGGAAGGCAGGAGCCTGGAAGCCCCCTGCAACCCAAGTGTGGTCAACGGAGTGCATGTCTGTCTTGCACCCTCGCATAGAGAGTGGAAAGGTGGGGAGGGGAAGGTCCTGCTTTTTGGGTGAGCTGTGCTGCCAGCCAGGCCATGGGATGTGCTTGGTAGATGAGTTGTCCCTGTTTGTAGAAACCTGCTGGAATGGCTTTGCCCTGACAGCAGGCAGGTAAGAGGCAGGCACATCTGGAGCTCCTGTCCCAAGCCACATAGGTGGACAGCACATGGCAGGTGCTGACTCCATCTGCCAGCACAGCCCTCCAGCATCAGGACTCTGCTAGTCCAGGCTAAGAGGGCTCAAAATTGAAGGGAAGCTCCCTTCTAAGGAGCTTCCTCCCCTACTAAAAGCATTCAGAAGACCAAAAATTCCCCATAAAATCTGTGCTGGGCGGATGGGACTTCCTCTAGGAGGTCTGAGTCCCAGCAGCTACGATACCTTCACTGCCCTGTGTAGTGTCACATCTTGTCACATTGTAAACTAATGAAATCACTGCCCCATGTCACATCCTGTCCCGTCTTAAATTAATGAGCTCACTGCCCCGTGTTGCATCCTGTTACTGTATGTCCAGACTTAACGCGGTCACTGCTTTGTGTTGCATTCTGTTGCGTCCAAAATTTCTGCAGTTTACTGCCCCGTGTCGTGTCCTTGGTTAGCAGAAGCTGTGAGCCCTTCCTGCAGCTTGGATCCTCAGACAGTGTCTCTCTGGCTGCTCTATTTCCCATGAGGTTCCTTCTGAAATACCACAGCTTGGTGTGCCCTTTAGGACATCTGTTATGTTTCGGAGAAGGAGGGGTGAGGCTCCATGTGGGACCCAGCGAGGGAAGGGAGAGCTCCGCTAATGGAAGATGAAACTCGGTGAGGATGCTGGTGGGAGCCACTTAGGCTGTGAAAACAGGAACGAGTGGGATTGAACATTAGCAGTTTTTTTATCCTGCAGCCCTTCCAAATGCCCTAATGGGTTGCTGCATGGGCGTTTCCAAGAGATTAGCATGCTGTGTGCTCCTTCCCCCTCTGCTGGGTGGGCAGAGCTGCTGCCTTGTTAAATGTGCTGCTAAAACACTTTTATTTGGCACTGCAGCTTCTAATTGCTGCACGCCTCTGTTTCCTGTGGCCTCCTGGGGCTCGTGCCCTGCGAGCTGGAAGTGGAGAAGGGACATGAGGCTGATGTGCACAGCCCTTTGGCTCTCAAGCAGATGGGAGGTGGAGAGCAAAACCCGGAGAGGAAGGATGGTCCAAAGAAATTCGGGCTTGCAAGCAAAATCTTGGCTATGGGCTCAGCTAACTGAAAGGCCTTAAAGCCTGGTAATGTTAGTCAGGGATGGGGACAGACACATACATGTGTAAGTCTCCTCTTTTGAGGAGCCCTGTCCTGATATCAAGGACTGGGATTGCACTCGGGACAGTGGCTTGCATGGTGTGTCTGCATTTCAGGTCCAGCAGTAACAGCCGTGCTACCTTCAAACCAGCTGGCTTAGTGCTGGAGACAAATCTAAGTCCAAAACCATGGAGTTAACCGTTGTCTGCAGTGGTAGGGTTGACTTGGCATTTTAGCATCCCGCTCCTGAGACCTAGATGCTGTCCCTGTGACTTTGGTGGCATAGTTTCAAAGTCACCGGAGAGGTCACCTACCTCTAGGAGACTCTGTTTTGGGCTGGCCAGGGCTTAAGGATGAGCAGTAAGACATTGTGGTAGGTCAGGAGAGAAAGGTGCTAGAAGAAACGTAAGGGCCTTGGATAGGACCTGCAGCACTGCAGCCATTGGCACGTTTCCTGCAAGAGCCTCAAACTGGCCTGCTGCACCTTGTGTTTGCCCTGACATGAGGACCATGAAGGGTGGCTCAGGAGCTGCTCCCTCTCACATGCTGCTCTTTGCCTTTCTCACTCTGTGTCTCTTCCTGTTCCATCTCTTCTCCTTGTTTTTCCAGAAAAGAAAGTCCAGTTCCAGCGTTCAGTTAATGGTGAGTGTCCGTCGTCTTCCTCAATGCTGATATTGCTGGGCCTCTCAACGTGTTCCAGCCTTCCCCCATTTTTGGAAGTTACCTCGGGGTAGGGAAGAAGGGACACTGGGGTTGGAGGGACATCCTCAAAGCCGTATCACCCACAATCCCCATTAACAGGGTTGGTGCAGGCACTTGCTGGCCGCCAGCTGGTGGGAAGCCGGCCCTGGTTCTTGCTGATGGGTTCTCATGCCGTTTCTCCCAGTTCTCCTGACTCAGGTCTGCAGGCTGCATCGGTCCAAGGAGCCTTGGAGAAACACCTTCCATGCCTCTGCGGGGACTGTATGGTCATGGGACACCTTGCCAACCTACATCGGGGTATTATGGGTAATACATAAGCAAGGCTCTGCTGGGAAGAGCTAGCAGAGCCATTGCTCTAGCTCCGCTAGCAGAGTCGCCTTGATGGGGCTCCTGGAGAGAGACGGGGGTCAGGACCCCCTCCCCAAAATCTGTGTAGTGCTCAGCTGTTTATTGGAAGAGCTGTGTCTCAGCCTTCAGTGGTCCATGTGGCTCTTGGAAGCACTCTGTTTTACTGTACATTTCTCTCCCTACTCTACGGTCAGTGTGGTCTCTCTCACTCCTGCACAGTCCCCTCACTTCCTCTTTCTCATCCCAGTTCCTCCTCGCTGTTAATTTGTACATTTCTCTTTATTGTACAGTCAACGTGGTGTCTTCCACCCCTGCACAGCCCCTCTCCCTGCCCCTCTGGCTGCGCTCAAAGGAACCTGCCAAAATGCCCCTTGGACCTGCCCCGTGTGTGTCCCCGCGGGCGTTGGTAGGAAAGGCACCACTCTTCCTACGAGACCCTCCACAGCCCAGCTCTTGTGCCCTTGGCTACGAGGTGTGGAAGTCAGGGAGGGCTCTGCCATCGCTACATGAGAGCTGTGGTTGAGGACAGGTTGAACCTGCTGGCGTTTTCCTTGGTATCTGTCCGTTTGCACAGTCGAGCGCTGTGGGGTCAGACTCGGGGGGCTGTCAAACACATGAGCTCCTACTTGTGTGGGGTGAAGACTGGCCTGACCTTCCCATTTCCTTTCTGTTCTTTGCTCAGGAATCATCAGAGAGCACTAACACCACCATTGAAGATGAAGACACCAAAGGTACCGGCAGGGTTGCCCAGGGAGGGAGGAAGGGGCAGGCTTGGGTTGTTAGTCCAAAGTCCAAACCTACAACAGAGAACCCCTCTGGTATATTCAAAAGCTGGTTCATTCATTATGAATGAAATGCCAGCGTGGACTGAGGCCAATGCAGGTGGTTCCCCTGCTGATACGTTGCCATCAGCAGTTGTGCTCTAGCACTGCTGGAGAGAAGGAGAGGAGCACTCATAAAAAAGGAAGAGTGTCTGAAAGCAGGAAAGAAAATGTCTGGCTCAGAGGAGGCTGTTGACACTCCACTGTCATGCCAGTGGCACTAGCACAGCACCAGGCCCACCTGGAAAGTCGGTGGTGACCCTCATTGTATCGCATTGGCTGAAGGAATCTTGGGATCAGCTAAGTGTTTGTATGGATCTCTGAGGGATGCTACTCCATCCGTCTGCCCCCTTTTCCCATTTGCTGCCTTTTCCTGCGTGTCCCTCTGAAGCAGTCTCGCTTCTGGAGACAAAATAAATGGCCCTGAGGGACCAGCCTCTAAGGGAAATCCCTTCCTCTTTCCAACCCTCCTTCCCGCAGCCAGAGCCAGCTTTCTAAGAATAGCCCAGACAATAATTTATTGGTGCTAATTTGTAAAGTCTGTCAATGAAGTGAACTCGGCACAAAGCAAGGTGGACTTTGGCCTGACATGAGAGTTAATTGTACACTTGTTCTCCTGGCACATGTGTCCTGTGAGGGAGGGCAGAGGCAGGAGGTGCTCGGGCCCACGCTCAGAAATGGGCTAGGACTTCATATACTCTTTTAGAAAACACTCTCATGCATGAGCACTCTTCCCCTTCCATTTTATTTTCCGTGGGTACCTTTATTTATATTTGAAGCAGATCCTCATTAATAAGCACAGGGTTGTCTCCTAGACCTCTTCCTAGCATCCAAGGGAGCCAGACCCACTCGTGCAACATGGTCCTTGCCCAGCTCTGACTGGGAACGCAGTGGGAGGCCCAGGGAACCAGCTACGTGATGGTGTGACCTTTGCCGGCTCTGCTCTCAATTTTTCTTGGGGAAAAGCCTTGTGGGAGTTGGGTTTCCTGGGTCCTTGGTCAGTTCACCCACCTTTTCTCCCCAGCTGGGACCATTTTCTTAGATGTAAATGAAAACATTTTCTGACCCAACCCTGTCCTGAGAGTTTATAGCCCAGCACTGAGCTGAGGCTTGGTGCAAATGTGAAGCTGAGACCAACACATGCCATCTGTTTGTGCTACGGGCAGCTCAGCACTTGGGTGGTTAACCCTCTCGCTCTTCAGGGAGTGAGAAAAATATAGAATTAAAAAAAATGACTTTCCCCTGACTTTAGAAGTCTTTGGGATCTTTTTTCCACCTGCAGCCCATTTCTACATCTTTCTAAGTCCCTTTTCTGCACATATTTTGCAATTCTTCTTGATCACCTGATGGTCCCCGGTGATCTCTTTAGACAGAAAAAAATATCTGAGAGACTGCAACATTAATACTTTTGGCTTGTTTTCTCCCTTAAACCCAACAGTACGGAAGCAAGAAATCATTAAAGTAACAGAGCAGCTGATTGAAGCAATAAGCAATGGTGACTTTGAGTCCTACACGTGAGTGTGACTGATGCAATTTTGAGTCGGGGTGGGGGGCCTTCTGGTTGATAGCACCTGCTCCTGTAGGCTGAGCTTGAGGGAATCATGCTCTCCTTGTGAAATCACAGCCCGTTAGGTTTACTGCTGTCAAGTACAGAATGGTGACATGGAGGTGGGGGACAGAAGATCCAGGAGAGTCAAGGGACATCTGCTACCAAAGCTGAGGCTTCTTTCGTACTAACCAACCATGTCTCTCTGGTCTCATAACCATAGATGAGCCCATTTGCTGTTTTGCAAAAGATGAATAATTGATTTATGTTATGTTTTAGATGTGACTTATGATGGAGGAAGAAACATTACATCTGTGGTACTCATTATATCCACATTACCTTAGGTGCTTGGAAAGATTACTGTTTTCCATGTGCTGAGCCCATGCTGCTTGTTGTATGCTCCTGTGCTCAAGGTCTGTTTAATTAGCTGTTTCTGAGTGAATTCAGGTCTAGATTCCTGCCTTAGAGAATAACAGCGGGAATATTTCAGTAGAGGAAGAGTTAGATTTTTTTCCTACTGTTTTGCTTTTATCTCTTGCAAAGACGGCAAGAGTATCTTGGGAAAGTTTAATTGGAGATGGCAACTGATTTGAATTCACTCTGTCTCGTTTGAGGTACCCAGCTGAAGAGGTGTAGCTGTATTGGCTTCTTGTAGAGCACGGAGGTCCTCTGAGAGCTTTTATAGCATCAGACTTCTGCTCTTAATTACTTTCTGGAGAAACCTGTCTCCATGAAATGCAGAGAGGGCCTACCAAAGCAGCATGGACTTTCTCCCGTAATATCTCAAAGCTCTGAGTTCCTTGCCCTAAATCCTTCAGCTTGATTTAGCCAGCACAGCTGCTAAATTTCAAGCTAATGGAAAGTTCTCTTGAGCATAAGCAGTTTGAGTTTTGCAGAACCTGGTTTATGCAAGCTCTCATGATGGGACCAGTGAGATAACCTCTCCTTTTTCTCTCCCTTTCCCTTCCTTCGTGGCCTCCCCAGGAAGATGTGTGACCCAGGAATGACTGCTTTTGAGCCTGAGGCTCTGGGAAACCTAGTGGAAGGCTTGGATTTTCATCGATTCTACTTTGAAAACCGTAAGCAGCTTCTTCCCCTCCCAAGGGACCATTTTCACCATCCATAGCCTGTTCTGTCATTCAGCATCTGTCAGCTTGCTGCACAGAAGAGGGTAAGGGTGATTTGGGGAGCATCTCTGAATCTCTGGCTGATTTGAAAGATCCCAGGAGAAGGTGAATGAAGGCTGTTAGGTCAGCTGGGGACTGGCTGGATTGTAGAGGAACTATCTGGTTAGCTGTTTCCTCTAGGACTAGCATAGAGAAAACAAAATTCCTTCCTTTGCCTAAGACCGTTTATGCTTGTCCCCTTTCCAGTGTGGTCCCGGAACAGCAAACCTGTGCACACAACCATCCTGAACCCGCACATCCACCTGATGGGAGATGAGTCTGCCTGCATCGCCTACATCCGCATCACGCAGTACGTGGACGCGGGAGGGATCCCCCGCACCGCCCAGTCGGAGGAGACCCGCATCTGGCACCGCCGCGATGGCAAATGGCAAATCGTCCACTTCCACAGATCCGGGGCGCCCTCCGTCCTACCGCAGTAAGCCCTGTGAGAAACCAGCACTGAGAGTTATGGGGTGCGGGAGGGGATGATGCGGACTACAAGGGTTCGGAAGGGGTGAGATCATCCCCCGATCTCTCATGGTGGGGCAGGAGTGACTACCATGAGAGGGGATGGCCAGAGGGAATGGGAAGAGTGTTGCCCATCAAAGGAACAGCAAAAGTGGAAAAATCCCTCTGCCCAATTTGTGTTTTCCAGCTGAAGTGCGGGCCAGCCTGCGTTGGGTTTGTCACTGACTCGCTACCAAGGAGGAACCCCCTCCAACTCTTCACCCATGGGACTTTGGCTGTTGGCTCTGCTGCTTGTTTCCTGCTGGAATTCCTCTTGCTTATCACCATGAACATGCAATGGCCCCACTGACATGACACGCATTGAATTGAAATCTCCATCCCACCTTTTGCAGCCAGCCCCACCATGGTCTTTGCGCTGGGCCCCCTTTCTCTGCATGAAAGAAGAGAAGAAAAAAATATGTATATAAAATCAACGCTCTTATTTGGCCAGTAAGAAGAATCATGTCTGAGGTAAAGGCTTCCACTCACCACTGCATGGCATTCCTGGGCTCCTGCACATCCTCATAACCCAGCATGTCCCATGAAATGGGACAGGACTTGTTCTCTATCTCCATCCCCACCTCTGCTGAGAGTCTCAAAGGGCCCAAGGAAGAGGAGCCCATAGAGGCAGTTTTGAGCTACTTCATGCTGACTGAATGGAGTGGGCTTGGGTGACCCCCTCTTGGCACCAGAGGATTTTCATCTCGCTGCTGTCATGGTCCCATACCTCGACGCCATGGCTCCCACCTGCTGCCACCTTGGACTCTCCCCAACCTGAGCTGTCACTTCTTGGCAGCCTCAACTGAGAAATCTCAAATTATTTGCAAAATTTGGCTTGCTGGCACCTCTGGGTAAGGAGGGATTTGTTTGGATGGGTGAGTAAAGGCCTATCTCTTATTTTCTCTTCCCAGGAATGTAGGCTGACTCCTTCCCAGGAGGGTGACCATGTTCATGCCCTAGCCCTGGGGAGCTGTCCTATTGACAAGCAGCATGCTATGTGAGCAGGGATGTTCTCCCTCCTTCCTCCCTTATCCCTCGGGAGCAGGAACTGGAGAAGCTGGGAGAAGAGAGGAAGAGTATGAAACCTCTTCAAAGTGCTGCATCTGCCCCTGAAGGAACTGGTGGCCACAAGAATGGAGAGCTCAGCTCTGAGTGGTGGTCAAGCATCACCACAAGGATGGGCTTGGTGTGGTAGCCTGCTCTCCTCCACATATTTCACTCCATGTACCCCCTCTGCCTGGCATCCTTTACTCCCAGCTGACTTGGCACCCAGCTCTTATCCCTGCCAAACGCCAGCCTCTGCCCCTCGCATGCAGCACCTGGACCTTCTCCCAGCACCCTGAACCTGAGCACCACAGCCCTTGCCGTAGTACTGGAAATGCTGGTGCTAAGGCAGCCAAGCTGGCCACCCCTCCGAGACGCAACGCGTCATCGCCCACGCAACACCTTCCAGCAAAGATGAGGAATGCAAGCTTTAGTAATAAAACTCTGCAGAATCTGATCATGCTTTTGAAGAAAGAAACAAGCCTTTAGCTATCTCTTCTACTTTGAGCGCATGCCTTTTTATAGGAAAAAGGAAACAACCTACTGTGTATTTCGTAACTTGATTTTGAGTATTTGCTGACATGGATCTTTATGTAATAACTAGAAACATTCAACTGTTTGGGATGGGGGTGGGGGGGTTTGGGGGGGGTTGCTGTCTTTTGTTTTGTTTGCCTTTGGAGTAGGGTTGTAACAAAGTGCCGTTCCTAATGGGACCCAATGGCTGCACCCCGGCTGGTGGGACCCCGAGTCGGGTCTCCTGCCCTGCGCTCTGCGGGTGCCCGTGGCGGTGGAGAGGCCACTGTGGCTCGTTCCAGTTGCCCTGGATGGGCAGAGGTGGCACAGCCATGTCCCCAGGGGGCCCTTTCCAGGCCCCCACGCGGATTTTCCTGAACAGCAAAGCCAGGCAGAGGCTCTTCAGGAGCCAGTGGCTTGTGGTCTTCAGGACAGAAGATGAGGCTGGAACAGGGAATTCTGGCATCACCTCTTTGCCTTCAGGTAGAGGTCCGAGAGGCGTAAGGGTGGTTGTTTTTCTGGCAATCCTTCCGTTTCTTGTTCTCTTTTTTTTTCGACTGGAACTTCTTTGCTCGTTGATGTGAGGTTGCTGCAGTGCACTGCTGCCACTGGGGACTCTCTAACTGCACTCTCTTCATCTGCATGGCATTTAACTTTCTAGATGGTGCGTGTATTGAAAAACAAAGAAATGAACAACAAAAAAAGCTTGTTTTGGACATAAAAGATGAAAAAAAAAAGAAAAAAAAAAAGGAAATGTTTTCTCCATGTAAATTCTGACTGTGTATTTTGCCTTTTCTGTGATTTTTGAATGCTTTGCTCTCTGTCTAGGCAGGGATGGCTGCCTCATGAAACACAGCCACATTCTTGCAGACTGCAAAAATATTTTCCCGATGGATTGAGGGAAAGAAATCCAAACTGTCAGGGCATTAACAGTCTTGAAGAGTTGTGGAGCGTGTCTTACCGTGCAGGGCAGGGGGGCAATCGTTGCTGGGGATGTGTGTAGCAGATGCCTTTTGCGGGGAATCGCACAGGTTCTCCACGGGCACAAGTGTGTGTCCCCAGGACCTCTGTAGACCTGTGCTCTTGGACAGTGCAGCTACACTGGCTTGCAAGGGTTAGCCCCAAAGCTCTCCTTGAGCAGGGAAAACCGTGCAAGGAGAGGATTAGCTTTTAGGATAGAGTTTGGGTGTTTTTATGAATCTCTTTTTCTTCCTGGAGTCACACAATGGTGAAGTTTTACCATTTTGAAAGGACGGGTTTAGCTCTTTATAGTCTGCTCTCCTCCTCTCCCAAGTTATCTGTGAAGCCGGCCCTCATGAGTGTCTCTTCCACTTCTTGATGCTCAGGCTGTCTGGATGTTGGAAGTATTTGGGGTGACCAGTGGGAGACGAATGAGGAATGAGGTGGCCCATGCCCCTGTGGCCAGGACTCTTCCTTGTGCTCGTGGCATGGCTCTGAGTTATGCTGTAGAGCAGATCTGCCTTTGGCCTCTTTATAGAGCTGCTGCTACCTGTGTGCTCAGATGGGCTGTGAGAGTGAAACCACTGCTTCAACTAGAGCTAGAGAGAGGCTGTCCTAGGAAGGGAGGTACGGTGAGGTGCCAGGGATGACAGCTGAAATTCTGGTTTAGGTCCAGTCTCACTGAGAGCCTTCTTTGGGTAATCCCTGTTATGGGAACATCTTCCAAGTTTCTAGGGTATCTTTGAGCTGTCTACTTGGAGGTGATTTCTCTTTCTTGAGGCTTCCCTATGATCATCTCTCCAGGGACAAGTTCCTCTGGAGGCAGCTGGATGTCCTTGCAAGGCCCAACATGTTCCAGATAAAGTTGAAAGGGAAGCAGAGTCTGAGGTTTCAACTCCTTTTAGTCTTCCAGTCAAGGTGAAGCCTGACCAAGGAAGACCCAGCTTCCCACCATCTGCCCACACTCGCAGCATTAAGCACCTGCACTTTAGGGGTCTGTTCTGCCTGATTTCTTTCCCTACCTCACCCTGGTTCTCCAGAGGAGGTTCTGTATCCCCTGATCATCTCTGCATAAGCACTGAATAAACCACTACCCTTTTTTTGCAGTAGCCATGGTTGAACAGCTTCTGTCCCTGTCTTCCTCTATTCTCTGGTTTCTTCTAAACATACAGGAGAGCTAAGGAAGGCCAGCTGTCATAGCCCTTCTGTGGCTGGCGGAGCAGGGGACACTGGTTGCATCCCTACATGTAAGCTAGGCAGCGTCTGCTGGCATCGCCCCAGCAATCTCAGCAAGGCTCTGGAGATGACGAGGCCCAGGGGATGTTTCAATAAGCAATATGGATGGGGCCACCTTCTTGAGAGGGAGAGACCTCCTGTCCCCATTGACCTTGAGGCCAGAGACCCTGCCATGGCACTTTTAATTTCCTAGTAGAGATATAGCTTGAATCCTACCTGGCTGCCCAGGCAACTAAAACAAAACTCAAAGTCCTTCAATTTAATTTTTCTTCCATTTCTTGCAGACCACAACAAAGAGTTGAGTCCTAGCACTTGCTGCAGTGGTCTCAGGTTCCCAGCCCCAGATACGGGTTGAGAGTTGCCCACTTCCTCTTTCCAGCTGGCAGGGCCAAGGTCCAGCCTGCAACATCATCACTTCTCAGGTCTTGTTGGTAAGTCTCCTCTGGAGGAAGAACAGGCAGCTCCGTGTCCTTCTCCATCTGTATCCAGTGGGAGCAAAGGCTCTGCTCTGAATCCTAGCCCTTCTCCCTTGAGGGGAAACGTCCCATCTGCCAGGCATCAAAATCCCACTTGACCCCAAACCTGCTTCCCATCCCATCACCTGCAGCAAATTTCCCCCTGTGGAGATGCAAAGTTGGGAGCCAGCAGCAGAGATGCCCATGGGCTGCTAGCCAGACTCGGCAGAGGCTCAGGGCAGTTTGGCTCTTCCCTAGTGTCCCATACCACCCATGACACTGAGCCTGCTCTGCCAAGCATGGCAGCGTTGTAGGAGAGGACCAGCAAACCTTCTCTCTGGGTTTGAAAGTGGATCCTGGCACGTGTCTGACAGAGCGCGATGTGTTTTCCCAGCAAAAGATCCCCTGATCATCATCTTTGATCATCCCAGGACCTGGTTGATGCTTTTCCGTGCCATAGGACACCTCCTGTGGTACTCAGAGCACTCTTGATGTAACCACCACTAAAAGGTGGGCTTGGTTTGGTAGCCTGACCCTGTTCTTCATCCTTAGAGGTAAGTATTGGTGGCAGGGGGAAAGTCCTTCCCCTAGCGGGATAGATCTCTTGCCATCGCCTATTCCCAAATGATCCCTGAGCAGCTCCCAGCTCATCAGTACCAGACAAGACAAACCCAGACCTGACCAGCTTGTGGGCACCTCAGAGTTGAGGCTGGTAGTCCTGGGGGTGTCCAGCCCCCACGGGCCACCCTGCAGCTTCTCTGCCCTTGGCTGGGGTCCTTCCTTACCCGCAGATCCTTCCCCGTTGCAAGGCCTGCATCCCATATGGGCTGTGATGCCAGGGAGTGGGAGAGGGGGTGGTGGAGGGGGAGCACACTGAGAGGCTCCTTCTGTCTGTCTCTGATCCTTTTTTTTTTTTTTTAAACTATTGCACAATTTTAGGGCTTTTTAAATATTTTTTGGACAAGCAGGGAAAATATGTTAACAGTGGTTTAAGAAGAAAAAAAAAACAAAAGATCTTTCATATATTATATATAAAATATATACATACAGGAAAGCTCTATGGAAATATTTATTTAAGATGATTGCAAAAAAAAAAATATATCGAGACTCTCTGGAGCTTTGTCACGTAACAGAACTCAGAGGGCGGGCAGGGGGCAGCCGCCCCTCTCCTCGTGTCTGTTCCTCCGTGTGGTTGCAGCTGAAGCCTTTTCTCTCTTTTGTACGTGCCCTCGAGCTGTTGAGCAGTGTGACCGTGTTGGATTCATCAGGGGCTTGGGGAGGTAGTGCTGGGAGGGGGGTGATTCTGATTCCTTTTGTTTTTCTTTTTTCCTTTGTTTTTTGGGAACCTGTGGCTGTGAACAGAATGATCACTGCTCCGCTCCGACGCTGCGTGTCTGGGGAGGGTGGTGGGGGGCCGGGGAGGGCTAGGGGGGATTAGGGCGAGTGTCTGTTTTACTCTTGGTGTTCAAGTGCAATAAATAGCTACCAACTTCTGAGCATGGAACCGGGTGGTTCTCCGTCACTGCTGGGCCGCCCACTCCTGCCTCGTCTCTCTCTTCAGCACCTAAGTTGGAGGGCAGCCCCTCGGGGCCCCTCTCTCCTCCATGGGGTGCAGGTTCTGGGGTGCAGGGGCCCCCCGGGCTCCTCCTGGCCGCCTTGCAGTGGTGCAGCCGGCCCACGAGATGTCACCAACAGACCGTGCCCGCGGCCGCCGCTTCTCCCGGGCCCGCGTGGGAGCAGGAGCTCGGGCAGAGGCGAGGGGCAGAGCGGCACCCCGGCACCTTGGGGGTCCCGGGGTCACCCCCTCTCCGAGCACCGCCGCCCCCCGGCAGCACTGGCCACACAGAAGAGCCCTGGTAAAATCCAGGAGCAACCCCGAATGCCGAGGGAAAGGGAGCCGAACTGAGGGATGCAGAGGGGCCAAAGTGAAGTCCCTGGGCCCGATCCAGGGGCTGGGTTCGAATGCACGAGCCGGTCCCTGGCGGCCATCAGGCTTCATCCCTCCATGCACAGCCATGCATAGATGGGGGCACAAATGCTCCCATCACCTTTTTACCTTATTTTCACTCCTCTTAGCCTTATTCCCTGTGATATCCATGGCCCAGCTGCAGTCCCTGCCCTCCTCGCTCTGCAGCACCTTTCGCATTCATCCAGAGCGCCCGGCAGAGAGCATCCCGGGATTACCAGGGGAATGCAGGGAATGCAGCCAGGACCCCGTGTGGGTAGGAAACAAGCTCAGACTCACGCGGAGGCCGGAGCAGACGGGCTGCAAAGCCGTGGGCGGCACGTGGACCGGCTCTGTGCTCTGCTTGCAAAAGCAATTTGCCCCTTCGAGCATCAACGCAGCATTCGGGAAGCGTTTCCTCACCGTGTTTGAGCCAGATCCCTTGCTCAGACGGAGGCATCTCTGCTTCTCGCCCACGGCAGACCCCCACGTGCCTCCCCACGGGGGGCAGCCCCCACGGCAGCGGCTGGGCAGTGCCGCGACCTCCGGGGCCTCCCGCTCGGCAAACAGTGTCAAGGTTAGAGCGAGGGATTCATTGGGGCCATAAATGTTTATGGCCGGCCCTCGCCGCTCCCCAGCACCACGGCCTGAACTTTCCATCAGCGACGCTTTTATGGCCAGCTCTAATGATTAACCCGGGGGCTAGCGGCCGGAGGTGCTTCCCAGCGTGGGGGCCAGGGGATGGGGGAAGATGGTGCCGGATTGGGGACCCCTGGAAGAGCCGCCAGCACCCATCCTCTGGCCAAGGTGGGTGCAAGGCTGCCAGAGAGGGGACATGGAAAGTGGTCAATGGCTGTGTGGGAAGGAGGATGGAGGTAGAGACAAGGCATAAACCCCAGTTTCCTTTTTTAACCTGTGTTTTGGCTCAGTTTTGGACCAGGAAAAAGCATTGCAGGTCAAAGCCCCAGGGGTGGGTGTCCCCCCTGCTTGGAAGCCTCCTTTGATGTGCTTTTCTCACACTGTGTCCAAGCTCCTCTCCCCAAGCAGGAAACGACATTTGCACATTGAGGACCTCACCAATAGCATGGAGTTACACGCTGCTTTTTAATGGATAATCGACCACGTACAGGTAGAAGGGTGCGCACAACACTGGGATGATGGGGATGAATGGCTTTAGGTCCGGACATCCCCAGCCAGGACATTCCCCACATCCTCCAGGACAGCAGCGTCTGCAGGAGATGGGCTCAGACACGCAGATATGGGGCTCCACACAGCAGAGTCACGACCTCCCTGTAACATGGGGCTTGGGCTGAGCTGCCCCAAAATCCAGGGGGATGGACACAGGTCCTCCTTCGGCTCTGCTCAGAGCGGAGAATGGACCTCCTGTGTGCACGGGGAATGCATCACCTGCTCTATTCCTGTCCCTCTAGCACAGCCCAGCTCTGCAAAACGCAGTGAGGAGCTGCCCTGACCCGCCAAGGTCTCGGGGAGACCCACATGCTTGGAAGGGCCCAAACTGCTCTGTTCCTAAAGATTCCACTTCTTGTCTTGTTTTGTTTTGTTTTTAACCACTGCTCATTTATTAGGTCAGTCCCTGGACACTGACCGACCCTTGTTGCCCTGGAGCACCTCTCTAAGCAGAGCACCCTGACGCACACCTTCCTCAGAGGATGTTAACACAGTCCTTTCCCATACATGTTTGTGGGTCCCTGGAGTTAAATATGCGTTAGCAGAGAGATAGACAGACACAGAGGGCCTCATCCTCGCTGCCTCCCGCCACCCCTAGCACCCCTGCAAAGGGAGGGCAGCGCAGGGTCCTCTCCTGCCTGCTTGCTGAGCCTGAGGGTGGGATGGGGACAACCAGACACTTGCACCAGACACCATCACACGACTGCACAGATGCATCACACAGCTCACCACACTGAACAGGAACACCTCGAGGAAGGGCAGACCCAGCAGCAGCCCTCTCCTGGTGAGGAGCTGGTGGCAAGGAGGCCAGTAGGGTTGGCAACCCTGACTGCCCCCTGCATGGCCCCCCAGGCCAGCCTGAAGTGCCCAAGCGCGACCTGTGCAAGTTTTGGGGCGACAAGCCCCCACAGGGAGGCTTCGGGAGGGCTTCAGGACCCCTCACATCATGGATTCCTCCTCCTCCTCCTCCTCCATCTCCCGGTCCACCTCGATGGCCGTGTTCTCGTAGCTGGTGATGCCTCCGTATTTCCGCATGTGCACCATGAGCGGCTTGGGGGACTGGCTGCCGGCCAGGGACGCCACGTACATGCCAGTCCTGTTCTCCTCCAGCGATGGGCCCCAGTCCATGGTGGGCCTGCTGGCTTGCTGGATGCGCTGCCAGAGGGCAGAGGTGGGGGGAATGGGGCTCCTGCTGTCACACCAGCCCCTGCCCTGCTCCTCCACCGTCACCCTGAGGCAGCGGCCCCTCAACCCCCCTGGGTCTGCTCTGCTAGACACTGGGGACTGAAAGAGCCCCTGGAAAAGATGGGATGAGACCAAAAGTCTGGCTCAAAGCTGACTGGGAAGGCAGCTCCACTTAAACGGCTGGTGTTACTGCGTGGAGTGGTCTCGCAGGGGCTATTGCAAGGCTCTTTGTGCAGGAAATATCCTTATTATATATAAAGAAATAGTGACCTGTTTCCCTAGGTCGCTGCATGGTCTTGGCCAAAACGTGGCTCCGCTATCACCGCGGAGCCTCTCGTCCCCGGCAGGAGCAGGAAGGCTCTCGGACGTGCACAGCTCCGTGCACAGGCTGCACGGCAGCACAGGGCTGGGTCGCTCCAGCAGGAGGTCAGGGTAAGCCAGCGTGGTGGGTGTCAATGCCACCAGGGACTGCGGCTGTCCCCAGCCCCGGGGCAGCTCAGGCGGCTGCCGGGAAGGCTGCTGCCTGGCGAGGGCACCAGCTCCCTTGTCTCTGCTTGGAGCAGCCTGGGGAGAGCAGCAGAGGACACCTGGGGATGGGAAGTGCATAATGGGATGGGAGGGCACCCCGCTTGCAGAGCCAGAGCTCCTGACAGGCTAGGAGGTGCATTGCCCGGGAGCAGGACCTCGTGGTGCCCGGGGAGCTCGGCGCAGCTGCCTGCCCTGGCTGCTGTTGTCCGTGTCTCAGATAGCCCAAAGTCTCCTCCCTTTTTCCCAGCTGAGGCTGCCAGGAGGCCAGGCTGGGACCCTGTGATACCCTCCTTGCTCTGTTTTTGCCCATGCGGAATGGGCAGCATCCATGGGGCTCCCCATGGGAAGCACTGTGACATAGTGCCCGTCTTTCCCATCTAGAAATGCCCTGGCACATGCTGCTTCTCACTGCCCGGGCAGGAGGGAGGAACTGGGATGCACGTCTCCAGGAGCGGGGATGCAGGAATTGGTGGAGGATGCAGGCCAGGCAGGGGCTCATGATCCTCTCCCCCAGCATTTACAGCATGCTCCACAGCAGCAGCGGGACTCCTACCTCCCACAGCGTCCCTTCTTCTCGGAGCACAGCCAACACCATGCCAGCGGGAATCATCAGGCAGGAGAAGAGTCCCATGAGGATGCCCAAGGCCTCAGCCCAAGCAGGGAAGCGGTAGCTGCCGTACTCAGAGGGCTGGTACTTGATGATATTGTAGACCAGCAGAGCCTGCAGGATTGGGGGAAAACAATGTCATTCCAGACCCCTCTACAGCTTCCCTCGGACAGAGCCCATAGGGAACTCCCAAGAAAACCAGAAAGATCCCCTGGGCCTTGCAGAAAGCAGGAGAAGATGCCAGGTGAGCAGCTTGTCACACTGGGAGGTCGTCCCAGAGGAGACAGCATCACGACAGCAGCACCCAATCCTTCAAACCAAGCAGTTACCATCATCGTTGCTGGGGACAGGATCATCCAACAGGCTCTGAAGTAGGGCCCTGGTTTGAAGCCCAGCATCATGTGAATATCTCGGCAGAACCTCTTAATGCCTGGAGGAGGAAGAAGACACGGACTGAGAAACTGTGATAGTTCCAGCATAGCCAAGTCCTGTACAAGGCTGCCATACATCAGCTCTGTCCAAGGACATGCACAGCGAAAACTGTGGTTTGAATCCTTTTCTCCAGCAAAGAAACATCTCTACTGCTGCATCAGAGAGGCAGGATGGGATGGTCCAGGCAGTGCTGTTTGAGGAACCAGGCTCAGTGCCCCAGACATCTCTAGGAAGGGGAATCCAGTGAAGGTCAGGTATAAACAAGAGCTTGGAGATGAGGTGTTCAGTTTTCCATGGCAATACTGCTGGTTCCCCCATCTGTCCTCCTAAACCTCTTCCTTTGTCGCCCTGCCAATCTGAGGCGGGCAGCCTGCTCTTCCCAACATCCTGGGGGGGACCGACTTCCCCCCGCTTACCATAGACACGTGTCACCACGATGCATGTAGTGATGACCACCACCATGAGACCAAAGCCAGCGCTGTAATCATCCAGTAGGACCAGCCAGTACATCCCACCCTGCAGAAGCAAAATACAGCAGCCAACGTCTCCAGGAAGACTCAGAACAGTAAACCACCAGCCACGTCCTCTTGCCCACAGGGAAGTGTTCCATCAGCCCTTCCTGGGCTCGGGGGAAGATTGGGCACCATCAAGAGTCCCTGCTCCCCATGTGGGATCATGCAGGGACATGATAACGCTGTGTCATTCCCCTTGGGACCTAACATCCCCAAGTAAACCAAGCTCACTGGTCATCTCTCTTGCATCAAGAAGATGCAACGTGTGTCTATAGCCCCTGCCCTAAGCATGCCATGAAGTGAGTGAGTCCCCACTGAGCATCCAGGCCTACACCCTTACCTCTGTCGTGAGGATGAGCCCCATCAGGAAGAGGGCAATGCAGATGACAGCCGAGAAAAAGGCTTTCTTTGGTCGCAAGTAGTAGGGAAATTCATCTGTCACTGCTGTAACAATGGTCTCCATAAAGGCAAACTGCACACAAGGGAGAAGAAGGTTCCCTGAGCCCCCGAGGCTGCCTGGGCATTGCGGCTGGCTTGTCGGGCTCTGTCCTTACCTGGCTGTCCAGGCCCAAGGTTAACAGCATGAAGAAGAACAGGAAGGACCAGAATGGAGAAAGGGGAAGCATTGTCATGGCCTGGGGGTACACCACAAAAGCCAGGCCAGGTCCTAGGGGAAGGAACGGACACTAGAGTGAAAAGGGGATGGCAGCGCCAGGCACGGAAGGGATGGGAGAGAGGAGAGCCCAGTAAAGTGGGCACAGTGTGTCCAAGCAAAGGTCATAGAGAAAGGTCTGGCCTTACCTGCTTTTGCCACTTGATTCACAGGGACCCCGAGCTCCTGGGACATATATCCCAAAACAGAGAAGATGGCAAATCCAGCCAGGATGCTGGTGATGGCATTGCCCAGGGTCACTATGAAGGTGTCCCTATGGAGGAGAAAGCAGATGCTCTGAACATGCTCTCTCCTTCCCATCCTAGAGCAGTGCAGGGTGGCTTTGCCAGTCCAGACGCCACAGTTCTTCTACTGGGCCTCTCGATTTATAGTTTCCATGGGGGAGAAGGAGCCTGTATCTAATGACATGGATCACTTTGAGGGGTTCCTCTGAAGCTTGCTTTTCCTCTTGAAATAAGCACTTAATAAGAATTCTCCTTCTCCATTGCCAGGGGTCTGCAACAGATGGTAGGGACAGGACAAACATGATTGACTCTACCCTTCAGCATCTGCGGCCCAATAATTCCGAACCAGATAGTGTCTTGATGGTTAGGAGATTTTTTCTTCCACAGCTCCCTCTAATCCCTCTCAAACCTGTGCAAGATTAACTGTGAGGACCTAGCAGGTTATAATGTAGCTGAAAAAATACCAAACCACGAGGCTTCCGTTTGTGTTATAATATGAATATTTTCATTTATGACACTTTTTTTTTGCTGGCATGGAGTAAACAGCGATGAAAAGATGAAATCTGCCCTTGGATTTTTGGAAAAGTGGAATCCTCCCTCACTGCTAAAGCAGCATCTGCTGAGCCAGTGCTCCTTACGGCAGCTGGATCTCCAGGGCTGTTGCTGTTTCTAGGGAGAGCCCCCAAAGTGCAGCTCATCTACTCGCAGTCTGAGAAGACTTCATGAAGAGTCTGCAAATTAATCTGTTCTGTGGCTTTAGCCATCTGTCTTGTTGGGCAAGCAGTCCTTATGCAAGAAAACCTAGTAAACTAAAATACTCGTGTTGTATCTGGATTGGCAATGGCAAGGCACCGTTTTGAGTCAAAATTGTAGTAATCCAAGGTGGCATATAATAATACCTGCTACACCTCCTTCTAATCTCTGCTAAAACCTACTACAGCTCCTTCTAAGAACCTGCTACAGCTTCTAATCTCCACTGGGACTTACTACAGTTTCTTCTAATCCCTCCTAAAACCTACTACAGCACCTTCAAATCTCCACTAGGACCTCCTACAGCTCCTAATCTCCACTGGGATTTACTACAGCTTTTTCTAATCCCTGCTAAAACCTACTACAGCACCTTCTAAACTCCCCTGGGACCTAGGAAAACTCCCTGTAACTCCTCCCTCTAATCTGTGTCCCAAGCCTCCCTTGAGATCACACAAACCCGCCAATCCCCCAATTTCTCACTCTAATCTTCTAATACTAATGCCAACCCCTTACTCCAATCCCTGACACTAATCTTCTAGTATTAATGCCAACCCCTCACTCTAATCTCCTAATCCCAACCCCTCACTCTAATCCCCAATCCCTCACTCTAATCTCCTAATCCTAATCCCAATCCCTCACTCTAATCTCCTAATCCTAATCCCAATCCCTCACTCTATTCTCCTAATCCTAATCCCAATCCCTCGCTCTAATCCCTCACTCTAATCTCCTAATCCTAATCCCAATCCCTCGCTCTAATCNTCTAATCTCCTAATCCTAATCCCAATCCCTCGCTCTAATCCCTCACTCTAATCTCCCAATCCTAATCCCAATCCCTCGCTCTAATCTCCTAATCCCAATCCCAATCCCTCACTCTAATCCCTCACTCTAATCTCTCACTCTATTTTCCCCAATCCCAGTCCCTCACTCTGATTCCCGATCCCAACTCCTCTCTCTAATCTCCCACTCTGATCTCCTCCTCACTCTAATCCTCCATTCTCTAAGGCTGTGATTTGAGACTCTGCTTGTTCTACCAGCCTACTAGGTGACTACCTACTGCCAATCACATGCCAGGTGCCTACTGCAAGTCATGATTTGGAAATAGGTCTGTCTGCACTGTTACAATCTGCACTGTTACAATCATGGATGACAGAGCTGAATGCCTAAACTAACTAACAGTGCTTTTTTTTTTTTTTTTTTTTTTTTTCCAATATCATAATTTTTGGAAATTATTCTTTGAGTCTGGGATGATGTCTGAAGGTGCAGAACCTGCAGATGGAAATTAGGACCATGGCCTCTCCAGAAGCCATGCAGTTTCTGGTGTCTCTTTCATTCCATTAGCAGTTTAAAAAGTCTAAGTCCGGCACAGGGAATACTCCCTGCTGCTCTCCGCAGCCAGATGGGAAACCCAGGCATTCTGTGGTTTTGTTTTGTTCATTTCTTTGGTTGGTTGGTTGGGTTTTTTTGCAAACTAAGCCCAAAAAAAGCCACTCAGCCTGGGAGATCCTAGATGAGGGGGAACTACCTGTGAGCCTGACCTTAGTACAGAGCAGAGAGTGGCTGAGGGAGCTGGGATTACTTAGTCCGGAGAAGAGGAGGCTCAGGGGAAACCTGAGTCTAGAGCTCCCTGAAAGGGAGTTGCAGTGAGGCAAGGGTTGATCTCTTCTCCGAAAAAACTATCGATAGGGCAAGTGGCACCAGGGGAGGTTCAGGTTAGACATTAGGAAGAACTTCTACACGGGAAGAGCAGCGAAGCATTGGAAAAGGCAGTCCAAGATAGCGGTGGGATTATCATCCCTGGCAGTGCCCAAGGAATGTGTGGATGAGGCACTTAGGGACATGGTTTAGCAGGCATGTGGTGTTAAAGGGTTTGCAGTTGGACTTTATGGTCTTGGAGGCCTTTTCCAACCACAATAATTCTATGATTCTATGATTCTAAACTGCATGGTATTTGCACAGTGCTCGGGCAAGGTTCACCGCAGTGTGACCACGTGCTGCACCAAGCACAGCTGCTGGTTTTGAACCTACCAGCCGAGATTTTTCCTGATTTTTTTCAAGACAATACCTGGCTCTCACCTGTAGATATTCTGATGGAAAGTATTGTATGAGGCAAAGGTGAGGAGGCCCCCAAAGCCTACACCAAGCGAATAGAAAATCTGCAGGGCTGCCTCAATCCACACCTGGTGGGAGGAAACAGATTTGAAGAGAGAAGGGGCTTAGAAATCTTTCCCCAAGGAAGAGGGGATGAAAAAAGCTTCTCAACATTCCCCCATCGTGACTGCCCATGTATCCCTCCAGCATGGGAGCACTCTAGCCTGAAAGCCTATGGTCTTTGGGTCTGGGTTTGCCCACAATGAGCAGTTTTCCTGGGAGCAGTGGCTTTGCCTTCCCTTGTACTGCGCTCACCTTCCTGAGCGGCTCCCGTGGCTAGCGGAAAGGCCAGTGAGATCATTTTAGTGAGAGCGTGCTGAGTGTGGCCTTAAGCACCCTTGTAAAACAGGGAGGTGGCCGTCACCTACGCGGCTGACGCAAGGGAAGTCCCTGCTCTGCCTGCCGCGATCGCTTGGGGAAAACAGAGCGGCCACGTCCAGCCCAATCACACCCAGGCGTCTCCCGGCCTCTCGCCAGGACCGGGCTCTTCTGCTCGTGTCTCAGGTGCCCGGGGAGAGCAGAGAGCACGTGGTGCCCGAAGCAGGAAACAGAGGCACGGGGTTGTGCCACTCGGGAAGGGGATATGTGCAGGGTGCGGAGGTCACGCTGTAGCACAACCTCAACAAGGAGATTTGCCATGGGAGCAACCAAAGAAGAGGGCTTTGGATCAAGCAAGTGCCAGAATAGACAGGCAGCTACAGGGACATAGAGTGCTCTCCACTGTGCTGCACAGGGCACGACAAGATTAATTCTGGTGCTTTAAGTAAATTGCACAAGATCCCCAGTGGGCCATGAGATCTTCCCATGCTGGGAGAGAAGCTCCCAAAGGAAGAGCAGCTCCTGCTCACCTTGGAAGACAGCAAGTGATCAAACTGTGGTGTGAGATAGAACTTGATGCCCTTCCAGGCCCCCTCCAACGTCACGCCACGGACAAGCAGCATCACCAAGATGAGGTAAGGGAAGGTGGCAGTGAAATACACAACCTGCAGGAGAACAGAGGCCGCTGGAGAGCCAGGAGTGAGACCTGGGCATGTTCACCCCCTCAGCACCCCATCCCCAGGACTGAAAGCCGCCTTGCAGAGTGGTGTCCTGCAGCAGCAGTGTCCTGGTGATGCAGCAAGGCTATGGGCATCAACACCACCACTGACTGCACATGCAAGTCATTCCGTAAGTAGTCTGCATCCAGGAAACATTACTTATTTTCCTCACTGGCATTTCCTGGGAGCACAGAGGTTGTTGGCATTGGTCACCAAAGAGACCACACTGTTCTTCCAAGTGGATCCCCCTTAAAGCAGAGAGGCAGAGACTGACGACTTCAGTCCTTACCTTGCCAGAGGATTTCACTCCCTTGAGGATGCACAGATAGACAATAGTCCAAGAAAGGAGTAAGCATAGACACAGGTTCCAGCGGATCCTCCCAGGATCCCCGATTCCAGAGCTCCCTTGGATGTGCAGAACATACCGACTAGGGCAAAAAGAGAAGCTCTAGTGAGGACCCATGGTCATCCTCCCTCAGCACACTGGACACATCACATCTTCCAGCGACCTTCTCTGAACTTAGCAATTTCTCTGCTGCATAAAGTAACCATGTCAGAAAAATACATTAAAAAGCAATGAGATAGCAACAGGGAGCCGGCAGCTCTTTGCCAGGGGAAGAGGAGCAGTTGGTGTGATTTCTCCACCACGCATTAATGGCCCTGCAGGGAAAAGACTGATGGTCAAGAGTAAAATCCTGTCTGGTCCAGACACAGGATGCATTTCTGTCTAACATATCTCCAAGCCAGAAAAGCCATGTTAGATCAAAAGTTTTCACCTCCTCCAAGACTTCAGCATAGCTGAACATCTCCCATCTGCACCCGACATCCAGGGGCTCTTGATCCCTCATTCTCTGCCAAAGAGGCACCACTGCAGCACAAGTCTCCTGCCGTGCAGCTGTGCAAAGACAAGGGGTGGCCTCTGCAAAACCCCTTGGCATTGAGCTACCCAAGGCAGATCGGTCCACAGGAGAACATGGAGCCAGCCAACTTGTGTGATCCCACACATGAAGCTGAGATACCACACACATCCACACAACAAGATCGCACCCATGCATGCCCATGAGATGCACAGCCCTATCACCTCCAGACCCATCCCATCTTGGTCCCCAGGGGGACACCCACCCCAAGGCCATGGTCAGGCCAACCGCTCTACCTCCAGTACTCCTCGCTGGGGCTGACAGTGTTGGAGATATTGACAGGGAAGGAGGCATTTCCTGCCTTGATGACGTGATGGTCCAAGCACAGGTCAGTGTTCCACCAGTTGCCACAGTGCTGCCAGGGCAAGTCACTTGTTAGGGATGCAAAGAGGTAGAAGAGAACGTAAGCAATGATCATATTGTAGTAAATGGCCACCAGGGAGACGATGAGGATCGTGCCCATGCCAACACCTGGAGGAAGGAGAGGATAAAGAAGGGGTGAGCCATCTCTCCAGAACAGAGCACATCCCAAGGCAGGGTCAAATATCAGATTTTGGCACCCGGATAGTTAACCAGCTCCAACTTGGAGATTCATCTGTCTGGATGGAAGCCTTTATTGCAGTTATGCCATCTGGACAGCCAGTCCTGCACATGCCATCTCTGACTGCATAAGAATTGATGAACTATCGAATCAGACAGATGATTTTACTCCAGCTCCGCACTGAGAGTAAACATATTTGATCTGACCTTCCTTTAATTCTTACCTTTGTTTCTAACAGCCATTGCTTTACATTATTATCCATTATATTACGTTGGTTATATATGCTATATTTTGGACCCTATATTTGATTGAATGGTTTTCATATAATTTCTGGAATTGATCGTCATGTCCAGAGCCTTTGAAGGCTGGTAGATCTTACATCATATCTTGCAGCTATTGACCATCCTGCTCCACCTTCCCCCAAGATTTAACCTTTGGTTTTAACAAGAGCTTGAAGATCACAGAATGACATTGTACATCTACGTCCTCATCAAGAGGCTCTGAAGAGGACTTGGCTTTCAGTCATGCACCTTTAAAGAGTGGGCTTATCTTCCAGACAGCAAGTGGCCCCAGGCTGGAGAATTGCCCAAGCGACAGCTCCATGAAGAAGATGGGAATCCCGCAGATGGCCAGCATGATGAAGTAGGGAACCAGGAAAGCACCTGCAAGAAGCAACACCCCCCAGAAATTAACACAGATTGAGCACTTGAAACCTATATATGAGGGAATAGAATTCATCCCACATCTGAGGGCCTGAGGAATATAGAATATTTTGCACCAAAACCTGAAAGGTAGTAAGGGCCAGAAGATCATTGTAATGCTGGTGAGGACTGACACTGTCCCATTATCTCTATGGGCCCTGTGGACATTCCCATCCATCACGAGATGGAGTCCCACCAGGTCCTCCGTGTGCAGTTAACAGCCCATATTTCACCTGGGACCCTGTTGTCACTGCTGCTAGCACATGCTTAGGACCTCAGGGGTCTACTCTGCACTTGCAAGAGCTTCCAGCTCCATCCTAGTGAGCAGCCAGAAGCACAATTTTGCAGCCCATATGCAGAAACAGCCCCTCCATCACGTTATCACAGCAGGAAGCAGTGACTCAACTGGGAGCACGCAGCCCTGGACGCCTTCAGCAGCCCTGGCCTCTGCATCCCAAGAGCGTGCTGGGAGGCTGTTGAGCTCCTGGAGGAGAACGTGTGGTTGATGCAGGAAGAAGGGAGGGTGATTCACGTGTTACCATGCTTTTGCACATGCTCGTACACTCTTTTTCCTTGAATCTCTTGCGAACATCCTGACAAATTTTCCAGTTACTATTGCATGTGAAAAACTGTTGCACTGGAAACAGACCAACAAAGGGGTCACCTTGCTCCATCACTGTTGAATCCAGCATTGCTAAAGGCTCATACTCATCCCTTGGTACTTGAGAAGCACTCATGAGCTCCTGCTGAGTCCTGGAGGACAGCAGGCCAAGGCACGCTTGGAAGCCAAGAGGGATGCCCAGTTACGAAGCTCCCAAGCGCAGGACCCAAGATAAAGGGTAGGAATCAGTTGAGTATAAGGCCAGGCCCTGGGGTTCTCACCAAGGCCATGAGTGCAGAGATGTGCTCGGGAGTCCCTTCCACACATGGCTACCAAGTTGGTAGGCGGGATAACATCTTACAGCAAGCTTGGGGAGTATAGGAGGACAGACAGGAGGCCTTCCAGGTTCCTACTGCACTTCATCCCACAACAAGAAATGCCTTTTCCTAGGCCCAAGAAAGAGATGGAGTATCTAGGTGGACCTAAGCCCCACCAGCCCAACTCAGTGAGGGACAGACCTACCTCCTCCATTGGTGTACGCCCTGTACGGGAATCTCCAGACATTTCCAAGGCCCACGCAGTACCCGATGCAGGACAGGAGGAAATCCAGGCGCCCTGTCCAGGTCCCTCTGTCCTCGGGATCGGCTGAGCCCAGGTCCCCATCCTGACTGCTCGGGCTCACCAAGAGGTCTGGTGTTACAGGCTGAGTGAGAGAGCAGAGCAACAGCAACAGGCCAGGAACGAGGGAAGAGATAGAAGGGAGGAAAGAAGAAAAGAGAGGGAAGGGGTTGGGACACCCGGACAGCAGGCATCAGGGAAGCAGTGCTGAGATTTGAGGGTTGAACCTGTGACCCCCAAGTCATAGCATTGACGTCTGTGCCCTAGGGAGCCCCTGCACAGGCAGCTCCCTGTGCACCACCAACCCGCGCTCCCCAAGGGGCCTTTAGTTATAATTCGAAGCAGATCCATGTCCTGTCCTGCTGTTGAGTGAGGAAGGAGGATAAACACGATGACGCATGGACAGAGCTCCCCCGGGAAACGCAGGATGACCCAGGATCCCCTCGAGAGGACACAACTGATCTTGTAGCCCCATTTTCCCAGGAAATAGCTTCTCAGGGCCACAGTCATCTATCTTTTCTCGTTTCCTGCAAAACAGGGAAATGAGGAAGTGCCATCCCAGGAGCGGAGGGGAACATGGTGCCCACAGCATCCGTGCACCCCTGCTTTGTAAGGCGCTCGACAACCATTAAATGTTGTGTGTGTCTTTCACACTTTTCTGGCTGCCAAAATCCTGTCATGTGGGGCGTTAGTAATGTGCTCCCAGTGGTCCCCATGGAGCAAGCTCCCGTCCACGCTTTCCTGACCTGCCCCGGATCAGCGAGGCTCAGGCAGCTCTTTGGCAGGCAAGGGATTAACCCTTCCCTTCCCCTCCGGATCTGCTAGAGGGAGGTGGAAGTCCTGCCATACATTTGGGATGGGGCGATGCACCAGGAGGGCTCCTCAGCATTCCCATCTGTGCACACATCTGCAGCAGGATCTTCTGTCCATCCACCTCCCCTGGCGACCTGCTCCTGGCTGTGAGGGAAGCGATTCCCACTGCCTCCCATCCCACACGCAGCACCAGTACTGAAAGCCTCAGACAGCAGCTCCCAGATGGGATCCCAGTGCAGAGACCCCTCAAAGTGAGACCAGCAGCAAAGTAGGCTGGACTAGCATCCTGCCCTGCTCCCTGCCCACGAGTGCATCGGATCCAGCTGCTGGAGGCATCCATCGGGAAGCAGCGGGAGCCCTGCCAGCACAGTGCTGGGAAAGATCCCCAGCTGGGGAGCCCCCACCCTGCCTCTTCCTGGACTGTCAGGAAGAAAAATCCACCCTCTGCTTGACTCCGAGTTTGTGCAATTTTAGGAAAAGAGCCCATGGGACACGGCTGAGGGTGGAGGTTTGCGGTGGGAGGATGGAAGGAGAGGCCAGAGCAAACAGTGGGTCCCCACTGGGTGCTGAAGTGCTTCCCTGGCCAGCCCTGTTGCATCCCTATCTCCTTGCCCGCATCCCTATCCCACCACCCTTGCCATTGCTTCCACTTCCATTGCACTTGGGATGCTCTGCTTCCAAACTCCCATGGAGACACAGAGCCATTCTCTAGGTGGCCGACCTGCACCCTGTGTGGCAGCAAACCAGCCCCTTGGAAAGGACTCGTGGGGCTGGGCGAGCAGCGTGGAGCCCTTCCCAAAGCCAATCTTAAACGCTCGGCGTGGAAATAAAAACGTTTCACTAAAAAACAAGGTCCATGGCAGAAGCCACAGCTAAAAGCCTGTCCCTGTGGGATGCCACCATCAGAAGGCACAGACCAAAAGAAAAGCTTCAGAAGTACAGGCTGAAAAATAGAAACGTGGCCCAGATGACGTATCATTTCTATAAAGCACATTTGCTGCCTCGCAGCCTTCCTGTCTTGCTCAGCACAGCTCTCCTCTTCAGTAATCCCTCCCCAACGTGGCCATGACAGCAAATGACCTCAGCACGCGTGTGGGATTTGACTCTTGCCAAGCTGTGCTCAGGGGCGATAGACTGATCGCTTGGCAACGTCCATCCTGGAAGCTTCATCTGCTGCTCCCTGTGCTCACCAGGTCCCTGCCCGTAGGGACAGGACCACCCAGAGATGCCACCATTTGGCCTTGAGGCTCCTCTGATGCCCAGCCCTCTCCTGCAGGAACAGATCTGCAGCCCCTCACAGTGCCCACAGGGCTCCCATTTTCCGGGTTGGTCTCACATATGAATAACATGTGGTGAATGAAGCAGCTGGTACATCATTAAAATCCTCCCAGCTCATCCCTGCAAATATGGCTCAATCCAATAGCTGCAAGAGGCCATTGGTGGAGCAGCAGGACCTGATTAAATCCAGGTGACCCCGTGTTGGCTGCAGCCTGAAAACCACACAGAAGCAGCAAAAAGAGAAGTAAGAAACCATCTCCAAACCATGACACCATCACCTCAGCCACGAAACCACAACCTGGCACCATTTGTCCACTTCAAAGGTGCAGGGACACAGCTGCTCATCGCCAACCTGGTGATGGCTTTGGGACCTCAGGGCAAAGCAGGGACTGCCCAGCCATGTGGCATCCCCAAGCAGCACCGCTCCATCCCCGCAGGATGGGAGAAGCTCCCATGGGGAAAAGACCTGGTGGCTGCAGCATCCGCAGCTGCCTAAGCCTCATCTTTGCTGCACCACATCGGGGACCTTGCAAATCAGCTTGTCCGAGCTAAAATGAACTTCAAAAGGGAATATTAAGCATTTCACACTCTATTTTGTCCTAGAGAGCAGGAAGTTTCACCCTTCTTTGCTCCCAGTTCTTGGAACTCTCAACCCCTGGCTCCACTTCAATCCCTTTTTGAACCTCAAAGGTCCTTGCTGTGTTTGCCACAACCCCCATTTTGTCCTTCGGCAAAGGCTGAAGTGCAATGTCCCTTCAGTGGCTCCCACAGCGAGCTGCCGTCTTTGGAGACAGGCTCCCATCTCGCTCCTACAAACAGACGGGGACTAGCAGCTCCCTTGGCAACAAGATGCTCTTTGAAGCGGCATCGCTCTCCATTATTCACCAGGAGATGCGCCCCAAGAAGACAGCAAAGCAAAGGTCACGGAGAAGAAGAAGCACTTTAGTCCCTGGCAAGATAAGAGCTCATTCCACAAGGAAATTGCTCTATGCTAATTATTATGGGTGAGCTGATTCCCTTAAACCTTTGCAAAATTCAGCTGGCGCAGAGCAGCACCAGCGGGAAGGCAGCCAGATTAAAGTTACTTTTTCATCTCATTTTGATGAAATGCTGGCTGGCATTGGGGAGTTATTTGGTCCTCGTTTTGTGCCATGAACTGCAGTGTTTGAGTCGGGAGAAATGCCATGCTGAGCCAGATTTCCCCTTGCAGATCCGCGCCGCGTGCGAACACAGTGTGTCTGCACCCAGTGAGTCACTTCAGATTAGTCTGAATTGCTCGTTAATCTCTTTAAGAAAAACTGAAAAAAACACATTCCAGTGATTAGGAAGCGATGCACATCAGAGGATCTCAAATGAAGACCCCAGCTTGGGATCGCAGCATGTGCCAGGAGAGGGAGCGAGAGCTTCCGGAGCCAAAGTGACAGGCAGGAGAGTGCTGAGGCTGGAACAAACTTGTTACACAGATGTCTCGAGCCCCGGGGAGCATGCACGAGTGAGTTTGCCACACAACTGCAAAAAGCAGTAGCTTTTCATCCAAAAATACTGTGGAGGATCCAGGGGAAGGAGAGGGCAGGGTTTGTGGGGAAGCACAGCGGCTCACAGGGACGTGCTGGGGTGAAGGGGAGCAATGAACTGCACAACTTAGCCCATTCCTAGCCCAAAACCCACACCAGATGAGCCAACAACCGAAAACATCCTCTTGTCTCTCGCAGAAATGCTGTCAGGGAAGCGCATGCACGAAATCCTTTGAGCCTGAGAAATTCCTTCCTCCCTATTAGAGAGGAATTTCCATATGTCAAAAACATGCCTGGTGATGAGGCAAAAATCTCCCAGCTCGCGGATGGAAAGCGGATGGAATGCCCGGGGGAAGGAGGACATGGGGATGAGGGCCGGTGCCACCCGGAGCTCCAAGTCGGAGACATCTACCCTGAGGCACTGGGGACAGACAGGCCTGCGTGGCCTCAGCAAGTGTTTTTTTAGGGGTAAAGCAGGACATTAGGGCCCCAGGCAGCATTGGGAAGGGGGAAAAATAACCCTGGAGACATCTGCTTCTCATTCAAGCTGATCTGCTCAGGGATTAAAAGAATTCCTGAAGAAATGTTGAGCAGTATCACTGGCAGCGGGGAAATTATTTCAAGTATCTCCACGAGCATGTGGAAGGGACAGAGACAACTTTTAATGGATGTGGCAGTCACAGAGTCATCTGCAAAAGCGATTTGTAGGGAAGAAGTAGATGATGCATCCAAAGAGCCCCAGGAGGAATGTAGAAAGCCCTGAGGCTACTGGAGCCATCAGGTATCTGCAGGGTCTCAATAGGCCAGGCTTCGCACATCCTGCCCCAAATCCTGGGAATTTCCTGGCAGCGTCTGGACCATGCTGAGTTTTTCTACATGGTATTCAATATCCATGGATGTATTGCCACGAGTGGGTCCACATGGGCTGGGTGCATGGGGATCAGTCCCCAGCATGAGTGATGGGAATCCAGAGAGCACAAGAGGGAAAGAACATGTGGAGGGTGCCCAGCAGAGAGACCACAGCAGGGGTGGAAAAGGCAGAGGCTGCAGATGGGATTTCTCAGCCTCCAAGCCTCCTGAGGGAGAAGCCAGGAACACCTGTAGCCCTTTAAGTCCCACAGCCAGGAAGAAATCCCAGGAGTGGGTAGGAAAGTCCTGGACACCTTCCTGTGCTTGCTCCTGTGGCAGTGATGTCCCCTGCAAGCCACCTTGTGCTGCTGCCCCATGGTGACTTTTGTAAGGGATGAGGAAGGGCCCAGGGGATGCAGGATGAGATGCATGGGAAAGGCTGGGCAAGGGGAGGCCGGGAGTGAGCCGGGGACTGGGGACTGACCTGGAAAATGGATGAGCTGTGCTGGAACCCGCTGTCCTCCCCCAGGGCGCTGGGCAGGAGCGGTGTCCCCCATCGCCCCCAGCATGCCGGGTACCCGCATGGCAGCAAGACGGCTCTGCACCCACCTGCCACCCCCGTCTGCCCGGCCAGACACAACATGAATCATCCTGCCGGGAGCACCTGCACGCAGCGAGGAAGGCAGGAGCATCCTCGCAGCACCAGCGGGGACGGCGCGGCGCCTCCGGCCTCACCAGCTTGCTCATCGGCCAGAGGTGGTGGCAAAAGGGCCCTCACCCGTCCCCAGAAGTGGGGCCCGATCCCCGCTTCAGCTGGCACGTCAGCCCCACACTTTGCCCACCTGCAATCTTGGCAAAGGAGAAGTCTCCCGGCTCGGCACAGAGGGAGCAGATGGCGGGAATGGGCAGGGGGACGGGGTCCCGGATCAGACCCGGCATCCCGGTGTTGTGACGGGCACGCGTGCCCCCCCGGCCACCGCGTCTCCCGCTGCCGCGGCATGGCCGGCTCTCACCTTGCGGAGATGCTGCTGCCGAATCTTCTTCATCCCGGAGCCCTGTTGCTATGCGCTCCCTCCGCCGGCACTTTTCCTCACGCTCCGCAGACGCTCTCGGCAGCGGCAGGGAGAGCAGGGAGCATCCAAAGCAGTTAAAGGCGAGGAGCGATGGCACTGCCTCCTGCTCAGGTGGCACGGGCGGGCGAAGCGCGAAGGCTGCCGCTGAGGAGGAGGAGGAGGAGGAGGGCAGAGCCCGCGGGAGCCCGGCTGGCGGGAGGTTCCCCGTGCCGGGCACGGCTGTGCCCAGCGGGAAGGGAGGAAGGGGACGGCGCTCGGCAGGCTGCAGAAGGGCTGTCTGTCAAACGCACCCCTGCCGGGTGCTGGGTAGGACCTGGGCCTCTCACCAGGGATGGGGCAGGGAGGAGGCAGCCGCTGCTCGTGAGCCGCATGCGTCACGAGTGTGTCTGTTCTCAGCCCGTGCCCTGGCTCTGGGGCACAGTGTTATCTCCACTCTCAGGACTGCAAGTCTCAGCTCCGGGCTCGTTATGGCCAGGCTGGCACCGACATCCCCTGTGCCACAGCCCTGGCCAGGCCCAGCAGGTCAGAAATGTCCTGATGCTGCCACAGGCTGCCCAAGGCTGGTCCCCAGCCCTAGCGTGGATGATGCTCCACAGCCCTTGTCCCTTCAGTGCTGTGCATTCCCCCAGACCACCTCCAGACCGCTCCATCAGGAGGATGCTCCATATCCCTTGCAAATAGATTCCCTCCCAAGCAAAGCGGGGCTGGAGCTGCTGGGCTGGCACAGGTGGCCGAGGCCCACTTGGGTACCGTCCCAGCCTCACTATCCCACTTGGTGCCTTGTTTGCCTCCCATGCCTGTTCCACATGAATCAGCCCTTTGCTGTTTCCCACGGGACGTGGCCGAGGAGCCGCGTCCTGCGGCGCGGTGGGCAGACCTGGTGTCAGCGCGCTGCAGCTTCCCCATCCCTGCATCACCGGCCTCCAACCCATCCCTGCACAAACAGCCCAGCCTTCCCGCGGCCAGCACTAAGCCGCTGTCCTCTTCTTTCCAGAGACAATATTTCCTGGCAGGAGCTCATGGGCTAATGATCGCCTTGAGGGTGGGATAGGATGCCAAAGGGATGCTCCACTTGTGGAGAACCTGCACCCATAGTGGTAGGTGTTGCTTGGGCAATGGAGCCACAAAATCTATCATCCAAGATGATAAGAGGCAGCCAGCTCCATCACCCATGGAGCTCCAGCAGCTCTTTGGAGCAGCAGCCTGAGTCTGGTGTCCCTCTGGGCTACTCCCTGGCGCCAGCTACAAGATTCCCCATGGAGCAGGTTGTGGATGTGCAGGGATACGGGGAAACAATCTCCTCAACCTGTGCTCTCTGAGCTCACCATGCCCCAAAAACACCATCACTGCTGATTCCTGCAGCTGCTGTTGCAGCAGGAAGGAGCCCAGAGGCTGAGGAAACCACCCGTGCCCACAGCACAGCCCGTGGGGCAGGCACATCCCTCCAGCATCCCGACCTTGGGCTGTGGGGGTGTTGCCTGGGGCCATGATGGGCCCATGCCTGTGAGATCAGCTCCATAAGACGCAAGGCAGGTGACAACCACCATTGTGCTAGTTAGTTACTTTGGTGGGCCACCGCGGAGGACGCTGCAGCCCGGATGCACTTTGGGCCACCTGTTTTGAGTGGCCTTATTTCCATGATGGATTCCAGGGTGTGATGGAGATTTCTCCAAGGAAGGGGTGCACCCAGGCTGCAGGAGCGGGCGGACGGGAACAGAGGGAAACCCTGGGGCTTGCTGGTGCCCAAGGCCACCCGGAGGTCTCCTCCACCCCGCTGTGTCACCTGGGGCCTCAGCGATGCGGGAGCAGCTGCCGCAGGTGCTGTAACGGGTGCTCAGCACCTGCCACCGCTGCAACCGTCGGGGGAGATCTGGGCCCAAGAGCCCCGAGATGGCAAGTAGGTGGGCTAAGAGCTCCGGATGGCTTGAGCAAGGGGAGCCGGGACGCAGCAGATGCCTTTGCCAGCCCAGCCCATTTGTGTGCATGTGCATGTATGCATGCGAGTGCATGCGCGTGTGTGCTGGGGGAAGGGGTGCCTGGGTGTGTGGGCACATTTATTGCCTCTTCCCGCCAGCGCCTGCTCCCTGTGCACACACACGGGCAGCAGGAGCCCAAGGGCACAGCCCAGGGCTGCCTGGACTTTTACCCGGCTGTGCAAACAGGCAGGCGCCTGATGAGAGGATCAGTTGGAATTTCAGCCTGTCAACGGCAGACGGGAAGCTCGCCAGCGCCGGCGGCAGAGCATCTTCCCTCCCCATGCAAAGCAGCCGTCCTGACACCCCCAGCCCCATTCCCAGCTCGTGTTGCAAGACAGCAGCTCTCCTTCCAGCATGGAGCGGCTTGGAAGACATTGCTGGTGCTGGCAACATTGAGTTTGGGGAGCGCCCGTGTCCCCAGGGTGCAGCGATGGGCGGCGAGGTCGGGAACAACCCTTTGCTCTGCCACCTCAGCATCCAGCGGCTGCACTGGCAGCTCCTCCACCCACCAGGAACCAGGACTTTATCCCGCGCCCGGCATCCTTCCTGCAACAGCCCCACCGCCCTCCACACGCACATCCTCACAAGCCAAAGCTTGGCACGTGATGGGGCAGAAAGAGCAGTTTTAGCAAAAGCCGGCAGCCCTGCGTTTGGAGCAAGCTCTGCAGTGGCCAGGCTTAGCCCATGCTGAGCCTCTCCTGCCCGGCACTGCCTCTCCATGCGGCTGGGCACCGTTGCCAGCTGTTCCAGGCACTATCTCACATCCTCGTTTTGTGTTTGCTCTTCTTGGACAAGGAGGATATTCAGCCCATCAGCAGCCATAAAGTGAGATTAGAGGCTGGGAGGCGCCAATGGGAGGCTGCCACGTCCCAGGGCAGCTGGCCTTGTTCTTTGGCCTCCACCATCCCAGGCTCAGCCTCACCCCTTCCCTGACCACCCCTGGGGCTGCAACCACCGGGACACCCTGGCACGGGAAAGCAGGAGCCGGGATGTGGAATCACCACATCGTGTTGCATTCTTTGTGCCCCCAGCAGTGCCTCTGCACCCTGAACGAGCTCCCGGCATCCTTCCTGGTGGAGACGGTCCATCTATTTGGGATGTGGAGCCTGGGTGGCAGTGGGCTCACAGCCCCGGGCAGCGCGAGCCCCGCTGCCAGCCTCCCTTGCCCAGGCACCAGGCGGCAGCCACAACAGCCAGAGCGGCGAGGGGGCGGCAGCACAGCCGCCGCGTGTGGGGTTCCTGCTAGCTTTTATTTTTACCAGCGCTTGAAAAATAAAAAGAAAATCAAATCTGCTTTATATACACACACAAAAAAAGGAGTCGAAATCCCAAGCTGATGCAACTGCAACTGCATCAGCGACTGCAGCCAGCAGTGGTGACCAAGGGAGGTGCCCATGGGGGACACTCAGATGTGACAAGACCCCAGTTCAGGGCGCAAGTGGGCCCGTGGTGGAGCCGTTGTCCCCATCACCTTGCTGTTTTCTCTCAGCTCTGCGAGGGAAGCAGCAGCCCGGGACAGGAGCACGTAGGGCAGGACCTTGGCTGCTCCCTTACAGCCTTTAGGGCAACTAAAACAGGGCCAACACAGTCATAAGGATCAGGCAGGAGAAATGGAGTTTTGTGATTGTCCAGCAGGGTAAGAGGGGACAGCGGGGACCTGCCCGGTGGCCCTTGCAGGAGGGGGATGTCAGAGCAGCCCTCCTGTGTGCTGCACATCCCCAGCATGGGCACACTCATTACTCGCCTGAGACACGCGGTGAGGACACAGCCCGGTGTTCTTCGGGTCTTGAAGGAAGCAGGAAAACCCCACAGCACTGTCTGTGGAAACCACCCCTCCGTCACCAGCTCTTTATCTCCCCTGCCCGCCCCAGCCTCCAAGAGCAGCCGCTTCCCATGCCCGTGGTGGCCGCCGTCCCTGCAGCTCAGTGCTGCCCAGCAAAGCTCTCCTGCAGCACCACCATGACACGTTTGCTGGATGGGGATTGTCCAGTCTCCACGTGGAGCTTCATGGATGCACCTTGACATGCTGTCTGCATGGAGAATGAGGCTCCAGACCCAGAGCAGCACGAGCAGAGCCAGGAGTGCAGAAGGAGGGGTGCCATGCATGGTGCACATATGCACGGGGAGCTTGCCAAGGGCCTGCTCCTGCTCAGCATTGTTCTGCTGGTTTAAGGAGGGCTCCAGTTCTCCATCAGGCCCCTCCATCTGCAGTCCCATCAGCTAAGGGTCCTGCCCGATTAGCCCCATCCAGTTTGCTCTTCCTTCTGCACCCCCCTCCCCAGCATGGCAAATCCAGCAGAGTAGTTTGGCTCAGATTTGCTTTGTCTTGAGTCTATCTCAAGCCATGTCTCTTGTCTCATTCAGTCTTGCTTGAACTGTCCCAAAAGCATTAGGCAGCTGGATCTCCAGGAGGTCCATCCTATAAGCTCCATCCGATGCGCTGCAGGAAAGTCTTCCTCCACCACAACCTCACACCTCCAGCCAAGACCCACCCGCCCTTCCTCTCCAATAATATTAATATCCTGCCTTGGGCTATAGACCCTGCAGGCTAGATCAGCATGTATTTCCTGCAGAAGAGCAATAGTTCCTAACCTAATAATTCTGTGTGTGGACGAGAGCCCACAAGCCCCTCGGTTAAGGTCGCGGTGCCACCTGGTCAAGCCTCATGGGCTGCCCTGTTGGGTCAGCCCGGGAACATTGTGTCTTGGGGAAGGGACTGTCACTCTTCAGAGCACGCTGCCCGTCTCGGCTCTGCTGCGTAGTGCTTCTCTCTGGGTGCCTGCGGCTGCTGGGGGGGTTAAGGCATGAATTCCTCCTTGATCGTCAGTGGGGAGGAGGAGACGAGGCTGGGGGCGCTGCTGCTGCAGAGGCCCCCGATGGGTCCCGGGGTGCCAACGGCCGGCGGCGTAGGGGTGGTGGTGCTTGTGGGCTGGCTTTGCTGCTGCATCTTCTTTTTGTTCACCTTCCTCTCCTTCGCCCTCCGATTCTGAAACCAGATTTTCACCTGTAGGGAGAAATGGACAGTGGCAAACAGAAAGGGAGAGAGCAGAGGGCAGCAACCCTTGTGGCACCCCTGGGGAAATGAGAGATATCTCGGGGATTAAGAGGACACGCTTTGAGTCAAGGCAGCCTTCACAGCGGGGACAACGTTGCCTCCTCCTGCAGCCCAGCCCACCTGGACACCTGCATCTCCCCCCGGGATGGAGGTTTCCCACGAGGCTCCGTGGGGAGGAGGCCCCGGCACTGACCTGCCGCTCGGTGAGCCCCAGCGCAGCGGCCAGCTCGGCTTTGCGGCGGATGGTGATGTAGCGGCTGTAGTGAAACTCCTTCTCCAGCTCCAGGCGCTGGTGGTCCGTGTAGACCACCCGGTACTTGTCTTTTGTCCTGGTCTTGCCTAGCAGAGACAACAGAACAGGGTAAGATGGGAGGGGAGCTGGAGGGGCAGCAAGAGTGGTAGGAGCATCCCCAAGGGCACCGAGGGGTTGCACGAAGCCGTGGGGAGCTCCAGAGACCCAGCAATGCCCTGGGGACCGGCAGACAGGAGGTAAGAGATGCCCCTTCTAATGGCATGGTGGCCCAGGGGCAAGAAGCACAGCCTGGTGCTGTCCAACCTGCATTGTCATCACCATGAAGCCGCCCAGCAAAGCAGCCCCGGTGCAGGGGCACCGCAGACCTTTGACAGCCTCTGAGTTTAACAGCATCCTCAGATGAATGAGGATCATTGTTTTCCCAGGAGTTCCGACACCCTTTTGAGGAAGGTTGGCCATCCCTGGGATTTTGCTAACAAATCCATGGAGTTTTCCCCTGCAGAGGAGCCCCAAGGCGGTGCATAAACACAGCTCAAGTATTTGCTGTTCCACTCCACCTCCCCAAACCAGGCTGCAGGGCGGCTGGAGGACAGAGCCAGGTTTTCAGCTGAGCAGACCCTGTTCTTCCAACTGGGAAAGCAGCCAGTTGTCTGCCTGGAAGCCACAGGTCTTTAGATTTGACTGTGTTTTCCTGAATTTCTGCAACAGGGAGCAATGCAGAAGGGCTCTGCAGATCTCCCCAAGGCAGGCACCAGCACGGACAGAGAGGCAGGATTCAGCTGGGCGCTTTGGCCCAGGATCTTTCTCCTTCCCTGAGACAAAACCAGGAGTTTTTGTGTTCCGATGCTCCAGCAGGGCCCTTGGGGTCTCTGCCACATCCCTGCACCTGCTCCAGCCCCGGCACCTGTCAGGAATCAATGGAATCACCTGCTCCCAGCACAGTCCATCCTGCGAACCACCAACCAACAGCAGACCTCTCTAACCTCACTCTTATCCTGCTTCCCCAATAAAACCATAGCAATGCTCTGCACGCCTGTCCTTCTGTTCATCTGTGCCTGTTAGTAACTGCTTGGCACGTTCACCAGTTTGGGTCTAATCTGCTGGGCACTGAGATGCACCAGAGCCATCCTGGCTAGCCCAGCAGAAGCAGATGGACTGAAGCAAAACTCCGTCCCACAGAGAGAGATGGCAGTGTGGACTCAACCCTAGTCAGACATCAGAGAATCCCCGCACAGCGACACCTCCGCCTCCAGCATGCAAATGCACTTGTTTACCAGCCAACTCACTTTTTATTTTTAAGCATCTCAGGACGTGCTAGGAACATGTAAGCTGATCGCTCGTTGATGCACAAGGGCCTCCCAGGATAACCTCTCCTGCGGAGCCCGGGGCTCCAGAGCAGCTCGGGGCTGTTGGCACAAGCAGGGTAGCAGCAGGGACAAGCTGAGGCCACCCTGAGAGGCTGAAGCCCAGGGCAAGCCCTGCTCTCGGAGCCCTCAGGCCTCCCTAAATGATAGGTGATGGATGCAATGAATCTAGTCACCCCTTTTATCCTCGCCCCAAAGCAAGTGGAGATCCCAGCTCAACAGCCCTCCTTACCACACATGAGAGCAAAGCTGCCTTTGGCCACACAGGGGGACTATGCAAGTAAAAAGCACATGTATAAAGGGGTTTGTTCAGGCTTGGCATGTTAGGGAGATGTCTGCAGGCAAGTGGGATGCCCCACAGCAGAGCCACGCTCCATGTCACCTGCAACCACCAGAAGGGAAAGGAAGCCAAGCGCGATTTGGCGATTTTTGCAAGGCTTTTTTTTTAACTTTTTTTCTTCCTAGGCATTCATCTGCTAAAGAGGAGCTGGTGGCTCAAAACAAAACCAAGCGATAAGCCGGGACAGCCGCCCCAGAACTGCTGCTTTTCCCGCAGGATCTCCGTCTTGGGCTCTGCGGTGCTTCCATCTCCCGCAGCTCCATGGGGCCTCCTGAAGAGCCCCTCAGCATGCGAAGGCCACCTGCACACACACCTCGGAGCCTCCCATGCCAAATTTGCTAACGCATTGATTCCCAAGGAATTACAAAGCAAGGGAGCTGCCCCGACTGGGGTTTACACAGGGTTTAGCGGATCCATGGGAATTCATGCTCCCTCACTGTCCCCGCTGCAAGCTCAGGGACTCCTGCAGGTTTCTCTTTTCTCATATAAATGTATCTTTTTAATTACTTGAACACCTAAGCCAGCTGAAAACAAAAATCTTCCTGAACTGATGACGCTTTAAAAAATTGAAGTAGGTCTCATTTGAAATAGTACTTCTTGCATACCATGGCTTGGAGGAAAAAAAAACAGTTGGAAAGAAATTAATTCACTGATAAGGTTTAAAAAAAACACTAGAGAAAGGAGATGTGAATACCACATGAGCCATGATTCTTAGCAGGAATTATTATTTGCGGCTCCAGCTGTAAATAGATCCATCGCTGCTTGTTCTTGATTTATTTCCTCTTCATCATCTGTGCTGGATGAATTCTCTTCTCTGTCCCAAGTCTTCCAGACCCCCAGACATGCTGCTGAGGCATCACCGTGTGAGTGGGATGGGAAGCTGGGCCCACATCACTTAACGTTAAGCAGCAGAGAGTCAAACCAGAGCATTCACAAGCAAGCCAGAGATGGAGAGTTATTCATCTCAACTAATTGCTGGTTTCAGCTATGTTTGCTGAATTCAGGAATGTATTGTGGGTGATTCACAAGGAAAAAAAAAATAAAAGGATTTGCAAGAAATACTATTGACAATGAATAATTCAACTACCTTGAATATGAATGCTCAGTTGCACTTAACTCACTCTCAGGAACCTTTTATGGCTCTGTGAAAGGAAAGGAGGAACTTGGGACAAGCCACTCTAGCACCTGGGCAAAGCCCTCCTAAACCCATGGGACACATAGACCAGCCCAGGGATGGAGCCGCTCCTAGCAGTCCTGGCACTGACTTCTCCTCCCCAGGAGGAAGTAAGAAACCACAGAAATAGTGAACCTGCCCTAAGGTGCAGAGGGCTCTGTGGGTCTGGTGAAGTCGCTTCTGCCAACGTTGATGCAAGAATGGGCAACTAGGGGTGAAGAGAGCTCTGTTTCCCCCCAATAAAGTCTTTGGTTTACTTCAGATCTTCATGCAAGACAAGACACCCTCCCCTCATGCAAGAGGACCTTGAGCATGGCACAAGGACAATGAAGCAGATTTTCCTCGCATTGCGGCCACTAGCCCCTTCCAGCCCCGCTCCGCACTTCAAATCCCTCTCTTTTGTCCCCAGAAGACCAGACAACCACTGTGGCAGCTGAACCAAGCCACTCACGGGGTCAGTGGGGAGGATTTTGTCTTTGGGATCAAGGAAGGGCCAATGGCTGCATGGGAAGAGGATATCATTCCCCTCGTTAATGTACAACCCTAATAGCACTCACCTTAGCCATGATTAGATAAGGGAATAGCTTTAATGCGCTGTCCAACCCCCAAAGGACACACTCCCGGGTATGCTTGCACACTCATGCACACACCCCGTGGGCACCAGGGTCCCGCTGCCCCGGCACCATCTGCTTCCCACGCTCCTGCACCAGCCGAGCGCCAGCCCCGGGGTTGGTCCTACAGCAGCTTTGATGGGGGACGAGGGGTCCCTGTCACTGCAGCATCACTAGCAGGCACCAGGCCATGCAGCCCCAGGCAGGATGGGGGTCTCTGCCTCCTGGCTAGCACGGGGACAAGGAAAGGGTCCTGAATGCCATGGGGCTGCTGGAGAGGAGCAGAGCCCCGTGTGCTTTGCTAAAGATGCCTCCATTTCACAGTTCAAACCCTGTGCTTGGAGCAAAGCCAGTCCCAGCAGACGTGCTCAGCTGGTGGGTGCATGACCTGCATGGTGCTGCGCTGGGGCAGGTTCTAGCCCCGACCCCAGCCCCGGCCAGGCGCTGTTTGCACGGCCTTGTCCACCCATCTGTCTGCACCACGTGCCTCCTTCCAGACTGGTTCTTCTGTATTTTCATACTGAAAAGTATTAGGTGTAAAAACCCCACTGCTGACCATTGAAAAGGAAAGGACCTCCAGCCAAGTGCTTTTATTCCATGATAAAACTACTTCTGAATGAGCAGAGTCTCTTTCCAAAGAGGATGAGCTCCTTACATGTCAAAGCAAGAAGAGCTGCTACATCAGGAATTTCTGTCCCCAGAAAGAGCTTCAGTGGAAACTTCCCTCCACCCAGTGTGGATTGGTCCATGTTATGGATGGAGAAACTGAGGTATGGAGACAGAGAGGACCTCTTTTGCACCAGAGAGGACCCCAGAGTCAGAGCTGTTGGCTGCGAGCCTTGTCCTGACCCCCTTGGTCAGCCCCAGCCCATGGTCCTTGCACAGTTCCTGGGGGCGAAATTCTCCAAGGCTGCCGGGAGGAAAGAGGGAGCAGCTGTCCCATGACAGAGACCCCAATCCCAGGTCACCACGGGCCTTCTCATAGGACTTGGAACCCTCCAGGCTTGCTGGAGTCAACCTCATATGGCATCCAGAGGTGCTCCAGCTGTTTCTGGGTGGCAGAGCTGATGTCCCCTCTGCCGCGCGCGGGACACCGTGGCTGTCCCTGCAGCAGGGCCTGGCCAGAGGCAGCCCAGCCCAGGGCTCGCTGCCGCCACCGCAGCTCCACCAAAGCACCCTGAGCCCCGTCCCTCCCGCACACTCTGCTCCGGGCTGCGCCCTGGGTTGCATAGCCCACACCATGTGTCACCAGGCTGGGCGAACACCCCGCAGCCTCCCACGTGCCCACAGGATCCCAGCACCAGGCGGATTGTGGGAGATGAACCCAGTGCACCGTTCCTAGGAACCAGAAGGGCAGGGAGTCCGCCTGCCTTCCCAGCCCCTCGCATGGTTCAATGTCCTCAAATGCTCTTGCTCTGCCCCAAAGGTGATGGATGAGGTGGCTGCGGCACAAGGGATGGGGCCATGCGGCTGCCTGTGAGGAACGATCCCCCCCAGAGAGCAAGTCGCCTCCGCGCAGTCGCGGTCTGAGATCACTTCCCAGCCAACAGGGCGTTGGATTCGGACAGCTGCCAGGTACTAAACCTGGCTAGGAGGAACTACGTTTTCCCATCGTGAACATCTCTCTTTGCAGGGCGGAGGGAGAAGCTGCTCAACAAATGTGCACCCCAAGGAGCCCAATACTTCCCAGCACCCGGTCGCTGCCAGAGAAATGGGCCGTTTGAGCTGTGCATGTTGGTAGCAAACCTGCTGGAGGCAAAACCCCATGCACTGGGACAAGGAGCTCTCACAAGGACTGGGGGGTTCTCCAGCACCCCACAACCTCCTGCACCTGCAGCAGACCCTGCCTGGCACCCAGTGTAGGCACCAAAGACGCCCTTGCAAACAGCACCAATCCCGCAGTCACCACACTAGCCACAAAACCTGACTCAGCCTGAAATGTCACCTCTTAAAAATGCTTCTCTTCAACAAAACTGTGCCCCTCTAGGCTTAGAGCCTCCTATCCAGGGGGGCTTGGTCTCTGTGTTTCCACAAAGCCCAGCGCTTTGGCCGTGCACGGGCGCGCGTGCAGCACGCGGGGGCCGGGACCGGCAGCGGTGGGAGGGCAGGAGCGGGAAGGCGGCTCAGGGCTTGGTGCAGGCGGATCCGCGGGCGCAGACCGGCACGGGGGAGCTCGGGCTGGCGCGGAGCCGCCGCGTGCAGCGCCCTGGCCCTGCAAGCCCAGCCAGCTTCCATGCGGAGCATCCCGGGGCCGCGCGGGGAAGGAGGCTGCCCCTTATCCCGGCCATCGCAAACAGCAGCCCGCGTCCTTGACAGGGAAGCATCTGCCATTGACCGGCGGGTTTAAGTGTCCCTCTGCTAATCCCAAGGCATCCAACGGCCAAGCCTGTCACGTAGGTACCTCCAGAGCTCAAGGGAAGCCCTTCCTGCTCAAGGAAAGTTGCTTCTAGGAAAGCCCAAAGAGCCTGTACCTTGGCCAGCAATCCCACTGGCTTCACACATCCCACTGGGGCCAGAGCTGGGTTAATATCTGAAGGGATAAAGACCCATGGTTGGAAAACTCATGGTAAGAAGCACCCCAGGGAGAAGCCCCATAGGGAAAAGCCCCATGCTTTCCCAAACCCTGCTTTTCCGGGGAGGAAACATCCCTCTGGATCATTACAGGATTGCTCCCTGCATCTTTTAAAGACCGTATTAGGGGAAAAAATAATATAAAGGCAAGAGCCCGCTGAAGGCGACCTGGCCACGACACTTGTGCCCTCCACGTGGGATCTCGCGCTTTACATAAGCACCGAGCCCCGGGTGAATTTCAAAGTCCGGGCGGCTGCCGCTTCCCGCAGCTTGGCTGAGCTTTTTATAGAGCCGGGGCGCAATTCACAGGGAAGTTTGCAAATGACTGTGAGCAGGGAGGAAGCGCGAGGCTTTGACACTCGGCTCGTGAAGGTTTTATGAGCGACAAAAGAGGTGATTTTCGGGAGCAGAGTAAAGCCGGGTTCGGTTCCACTTAATTCCTAACCCGTGGTGGTTTTTCCCCGCTTTTTTCCCACCTATTATTGGTAGTCCAGAGGGGTGAAAGGCACCTGCTTTTAGCAACAGGTCTTTGAAACTAAAACCTGGCTCTGTGGTGCCTCGCTCAGACACTTCCCAATGATTTCCCTTGAGCTCCAGCTTCAATTTGCAGAAACTGCCAGCACCCTCATTTTTCCCCATGTAAATTCTCCTGTGACAGAGGCCCAGCTCTTCCCCTGAACCTCCCCTGCGGCGGCCGACGGCTGCTTATTCGAGGAAAGACAGGGAAGGAGCCTCGATTTACAGCCCTCCGAATCACTAGGATTTATAGCATTCATAACGAAACTGTTGATATTTATAGCAAAGAAAAAGCCCACGCATTAATTTCCTATTCCCACTGTGGCGAGATGGGCATTCAATCCATCCAGCCCGATTAATGTCCAGCTTACTGATGGCAATAATAAAATTCATTGAAGAATTTCATCCTTATCTGTGTCAAACCCATCTCTGCTCTGCTCGCCTCCAGGCTTAAAGGAGAAAACATGTGAAATATTTGCAGCTTTTGTTATTTTTTTAAGGAGGGCTGGAAAACGCATGGGATTTTCAATCCTCCTACATCCTGAGGATGCATCAAAGTGCCCGGCGTCCCATTAAACCCAAGGGGAATTTTGCTACCGATGGGGCTGTTTCCCACCATCTCCCAGCATGTTGTCCCACCATGGTCCAATCCTGCCCCTGTTCCTGGGACCCCTTGGCCCTCAGATGCTTTAATGCACCCGGGACCGGGGCCAGGCACGTGGCCGGAGCGAGGCCCTGCTCTGCTGGTTTATTTGCCCCTTTGTATGCATTTAATCTAAGAGATACAAAGCGCGCCGCTAATGGTGTTTTTGCACAATATAATCAATCCGATGGTCACATAACTCAATCAGGGGCACTTTTACCCCCCTGCTCTATCTCAGCTCCATTGCTGACTGCAAAATAATCCCCTCAGTGCAGAGTCGTGACGATGTCTCTCCCATGTTCCTGCTGCATAGAAGTTGGGAGGTTCAGACCCACCAAACCCACAGGAGCACCAGTTCCCTTTAGCGCTTGGGAAGCTCGTGGCTGCCTTCATGCCCCAAAATCATCCCCAAGAGATCTTGCCCCCAAATTGTCCCCAGGAGACCCTACCCCAGCTGCACCCCCATGCACAGAGCCACTCGTGCAGCGAGCTCGGCCCCAGCCGTGCTCTGCTGTCCTCCTGGGGCGCCCGGCGGGCAGGGGACATGAAAGGGCGCAGGCTGCAGCACAAAGCGGCGCGGAGCCTCCCTGCCAAAGGAGCCGGCCCCATCTCCATGACAAAGCGAAGCCCTTGTCAGTTTGGGCTGGCCCCAAGGGGGGACCTGCCGCCGCCTTTGAAGTGGGCAGAGGGCTCTGGTAGCCCAGACACTTCCACTTCCCCCCCAGGTCAGGAGTTCATTGGGGCAGGACCCCGGGAGGGCAGGGACAGGAGCTGGGGCAGAGCCGGGACAGCGCCCAGGGGACAGCGAGCAGGACCATGGAAGAGCAGGACACGGTCTGGAGGACAGTGGGGATGGGAGATGGGCACAATGGGGACCAGACCGGGGGGCCTGGAGCTCTGGGACATCAAAGACAGGGCTGGGAGAATAGAAGGGTAAGATAGGGAGGATGGCAGGGGCAGGACAGCTGGGAAAGCACCCAGGGAACAGCAGCAAGGAACACCCAGATAGCAGAGCAAGACCTGGAGAGCAGTGAAGACAGGAGTTGGGGGACATCAGGGACAGAATCCAAGGGAAGTGAGAGACAGGACCCAGGGACAGTATGGAAAGACCTGGGGGACCGTAGGGCAGGACCGAGGGACAGAAGGCTACAGGCAACACAGAGATAAGCATGGGATTGGTGCCACCACCCATGGCACCCACCCTGAGCCCAGCACCTGCCCCATAGCCACCCCCTTGCACACACACTGGACACTCAGCCCAGCAGCCAGCGGCAAGAGAGGCCGATCCGCAGGCAGCAATTCCCTGAGAAGCCCTCGGAGCCCGCGCCGTCCCCGCGCGGGTCCCTACCGTTGCTGCTGGTGCTGGGGACGCTGCGCCGCATCCACTCGTAGGGCGTGCGGCGCTGCGCCGTGGGCGAGAGCTGCGGCACGGCGCTGCCCATGGCGGGCGGCAGCAGCCCCGAGCCCGGTGCCTGCAAGGCGTTGAAATCCGGGGCGCCGAAGCCGAACTGCGCCGGGGCGGCGGCGGGCGAGGCGGTGGCGGCGCTGCCGTACGCGTGCCAGTCCTCCTTGGCAGGGGTGTAGGGCGAGCCCCAGGCCCCCGCGGGCTGCCCGTGGTGCGGGTCGCTGTTGATGCCCGGCACGTGGTGGTAGCCGGCGAAGTCCGAGTACTGGGGCGGCCCCGGCACGTAGTTCTGGGGGTTGAGGTTGAGGCTGGGGTGCCGCACGGGGCTGGGGTACATGTTGGCGTCCTTATCCAGAAGATAGCCCAGGTACATGTTGGGCGCCCGGCCCTGCGCGCATGCTGCGCCCACGCCGGCTGCGGGCCCCTCCGTCCGTCCGTCTGTCCGTGTCCGCCCCGCGCTCACCTGGGCGCCTTGGGGAGCTGCGTCCCACGGGCCAGGCACCTCCCTGCCCCAAGGCTTTTATTGGGCCCAACCTCTCGCAGCATTTGCATTGAAAGGCAGGTTTGCATTTCAAAGTGCAGGAACCCCGGCGGGCGCCCCGGCGGCAGCGGGGCCGAGCTGGAGCCGATCCTGCGGACCCCGTGCCGGGGGCGGCTGCGGAGCCCTGCACCCAGCCAGGGCCATGAGCAGCACCGGGGCACTGTGGCCAGCGGGCCCTGACTGGAGCCCTTGGTGCTGCCTGGCTTTGGGGACAGCAACGTGCACCCAGGGGTGCCCACGAAGACCCCTCAAGGGTGCCCATGTGGTCTCAAGGAGCATGGGGGAGTCTGACCTGGACAGGGGGAGCTGGTGCTGAGTCTCTTGTATCAGAGCCCATCGGGGACAGGGGATACGCTGGGCTGCTCCTGGGACCAGCCCCAGTGCCCATGTTGGGGACACCAAGCCCGGGCACTGGGGCAGCATTTTCCTGCCCCGTCTGCAACATGCACTGGATGCAGAATTGGGAAGGGGACCCCTAGAACCCACGGGGGAGGTAATGTGCTTTCCCTGCTAGATACAGGCAGGCCTTTGCCCTCCCAGGAAGGGGGATTATCCAACACTGGGATTGGATAATAAGAAAGGGAAAAAAAAAAGGCAGAGAAAAATGGATTTGAGTTGAAACCATGAAATGAAACCAATACTGAGAGGAGAAGCTAAGGGAAGGTAGACATGCAGAGTGTTTCCTGCTCACGGTGATGGACCTGGGAACTGCTCTCCTTCCGTGTCATGTTGACTCCCAGACTTGCAGGGCCGCAAGGAAAATGACAGAGAAGCTGCAGAGCCCCCTCGCCTGGGGGGCTCAGGGCATTTTGTGCAGAGCCCTTCCTTGCCTGGTCTCCCTGCCACGGGGATGGATGAGCTGCTCCTCGCTGTGGCACCAGCCCTGGTCACTTGGGTGGGATGGGAGCATCCCACAGAGCTGCATTCTCTCTGGTGGCCTTTGCAGCCCCCAGCCAGGACAGAGTCAGGCGATTCCCAGCCTGGCTGGGAACGTCGCCCGGCTGCAGAGGGGCAGCCCCTCGACCTGCTCCTGCGCATCCCCATCGTGCTGCTCCAGGCTGAGATCCTGCCCGGTGCGGGGCCCCTGGCCGGGGCACCCTGCTCGCCCCTCCATGAGCTCCCCCATGCATCTTGAAGACAGCAGCATTTTTGCTTAAACAGTAGCACCAAGGCCTTCCTCCTCCTCCTCCTCCTCCAGCCTCTGCCTGCAAGAGTACCCAAGGTTGGAGAGCGGAAAAGTAGACAGGGAGGAAAAATCCCTGGACACAGAGAGGACCTTGGGATGTGCAAAGGCATCCGAGCGGCTGCTGTGGCCATTCTGCTGAGGAAAGGCCTGGCCAGGAGCACCTCACAGGCCAGTGAGCGGCCGTCCCGGCTCCACACCGATTTCTCCAGCTGGGAATAACGGGATGAGGCAGCCAAACCTCTCACCCACTCCAAGACATCCAGCCTCAACCCAGCCTGGGAAACCCCTTCGCCCTGACCATTCCCGGGACTAGAGGGAGCATTGGGCGCAGCTTCCCCCGGCTCCGCGGGTTTCGGTGCTGCTATCCATGAGCGAGCGATGCCATCTCCTGGAAGCCATGGGGCTGGGAGGGCAGCGCTGGCAGGTCCCTAGGGCCAGGCTGGCCTGTCACACGCAGCACGTTTGACACCGGCGTCAGCAGCACCGTGGCAGGGGCTGCACAGGGGCATTTGCAGTGGGGAACAGTGCCCAGCTCAGCCCAGCACCCCTCGGAGCAAAAGAAACAGAGCCAGGAGCACAGACCTGCCATGGGGCTGGGCTGGGAGGAGCATTGGGGCCGGGAAACCTCCCAAGCTTTGAGACTGAGTTTGGGAGTTTTGCAGTGTGGCACCCGCAGGGTGACATTGAAGGCACTGCTCTCCAAAGAGCCGGGCAAGCGTTGGGGTAGCCCAAATTACCCTGCTCCTGCTATCCTTTCCCAGGGCCTGGTGCATCTGCCAGCTGCAAGAGGCTGGGAATGGCCTTCCTGGCAAAATCCAAGAACCACAATCCCGGGCACCAGCTGCAAGAGTGGCCTGCACATCCCGCTGGTGCAGCGGGTGCAATTGCCTCTGCTCCGGGGCGCAGGGCCCCTGCGTGGGCTCCGAGCACAGCAGAGCGCGGCGGCGAGCGCGAGCCGGCACGGGGCACGCACAGGGTTAACGCTTCCCATGCTAAGTGGCTGCAGATGTGTGGGAAAGTCTGGGGCGAGCGGCCGGCGCTGCCATTAGTATTCACGGCGGAGCCCGCGCCGCCTCCCGCGGCTCCGCAGGCGCACGGAACGGCACGGCCCGTGGCGGGGGCGAGCGGGAGCGCGTGGGACGGGGCGGAAGGGCCCCGTGCGGGGAAGAGGCGCTGGGCTCGCGGCACCGCAGCCGAGGCAGCAGCTCCGGGGGCTCCATGTGGACCCATCCGTGCGGCACTGCAGCCGAGCACGGTCTGGAGAGTCCGGGAATGGCGCTTAGCCCAGCACTGCAGGGTGCAAAGGCCCAGGCAGCGGGGTCCTGCCTAGTGTAGCCATCCCTCTGGAAGAAACCTTTGGGAAAGGCTGGAAGAAGAATCCGTGCTGCTCTTCCGGGAGCTGAAGGCACTGGGGAGATGCGCCGGCAGCTGCCGTGATCGATGGCTTGCCCAGATGTTCCCCCTTGCTCCCCAGCACTCAGCGCCTCTCTCTTGTGTTCTGAGCTTCGACACCACATCAGAGTGAGGCACAAATTCCTGAGACGACTTTCTGCCAAGAGAGGCTTGAAGGAATATTGCAGCTCCGTGGGGAATCCGGGCCCTCGGTTGCGTGCAGAAGAGCAGGAGGCTGCGCTCTGCCTCCTCTTCCTCACCTCCCCCTCGCCTGCCAGCACAGGCGTCCTCCTCCCTGGCAGAACTGCCCTTCTCTGCCCCAGCCCAAGCTTTTCTTAGGGTCCCAGATCCAGCAGGAGGCTGGGACACAGTTTCAGTCCCGAGGTTGCAGTCCAAATACCCCAGAGTGTCCCTGTCTCAGGGTCTTCTTCATGCACCTGAAGAGTTGCACTGTCCCAAGCTCCAGGTAGCCCTCGGGCCACTTCTCTGGGCTTGCCCCAGACTGGAAACCCCAGGGGCTCTGGCAGCCCCCGCTGCAGCCGCCTGGTCCCGGGGGAACCGCCGTGTCCCGCGCGGTCACCAGGGGTACTGAAAATAGAGGAGAGCAGCGCGTGGCGGGAGCCGTGCGCCGCGTCCCCGCGTCCCCGCGTCCCCGCGTCCCCGTGTCCCCGCGTCCCCGTGTCCCCGCGGCGCTGCTGCTTCCTCCGCGCTGCCCTTTCCCAGGAGCTGCTCTAACCCCAGCACGCCCTCTTCCCAAACAGACGCCAGGCCCTGCACGCTCGCAGCAGCCGCTGCTTCCCGGCATCCCAAAACCACAGCCCTGGAACTTCATCCGGGAAAGGGCTTTGCTGGCCTAGCTTGTCCTCAGCCCGGCCTGGGGGCGCAGGGAGGAGAGGGCGGCCGCTGGCCGGGCTGGGGCTCGTGCCCTCTCGCTGCTCCCTGCCAGGCTGCGCCGCCTCGGGCTCTGGTGGATCCCCTCGTAGGGGCTGCTCCCAGGAGCCGGGAAGCAGCTTGCAGCCCCAACAGGGCCCTGTTGGAAGGGGACATGAGATGGCTGGGAAAGAGGGTGCTGGTGGGTTTCTCCCTTGGGATCAGCCACGTCCCGCCACGCGGAGCAGGACTGCAGCAGAGCAATTCCCACCCGCGCAGGGACCAGTCGGAGGCGGCTCTGTCCCGCGGGGAAGGTGTTGGGAACAGCGGTGTGCAGCACACGCTGCTCTCTCGCCTGCGCCCCGCGAGTCCGCGCTCACGCTCGCGTGCTCAGCTCTGCGTGGCAGATGCTGCCGCGCTGCGGGGCCACCGGCTCCCGTGTCCCCAGGGCCTCCGTGCAGTCCGACCGGGGACCCGGTAGGACCGGGCAGCAGGGCTGGACACCTCTGCCTCGCCCAGCTTCATGCCACCGCCCTGGAGCCCAGCACAGGGCCCTGTCCCCATCCTTAGGGACATCCCTCCGGTGCCCTCCCTTGTTCCCACTATCCCCTGTGTGTCTCCTGCCTGCACTGCACAGCTCATCCTGGCATGGGAACAGCATCTTCTGCCCCACGCTCCTCACCGGGGGCTTCCCACAGCCCCAGCCCTTGCTTCCCTTTGCCATGGCCAGATGAGAGCCTGGTGCTCTCCAGCTTTGCATTTGCATCTGTGAATAGAGAAACACGGAGATAACCAGAGATAAGAGCTGGTGTCACACGGTCTCCGCTGCGCACGTTTTGACCTTGCAGAGCCGGAGGGGATGATGCTGCCCAGCAAATCAGTCTCCAGGCTCCAGCAGCATGGGCTTTGTGGGAAGGGTTGAGGTTTTCCTTGGAAAAGAGAGAAGGAAACGGAGAAGCGCATCATCTCAGGGGAGCTTTCTCTTGAAGGCTCGTGGCATTTTCCCTGTGTTTATTTTCCAGAGTCCCATTAAGGCACAACCCCAAGGGAGAAACTGAGGCAAGAAGAGACCATTCCCAAGCCAGAGCCCATCCAGATGCCCCCAGCTTTGCCAGCAAAGCAAACAGCACCATGCTCCTTGTGAACGCGCAACACTCGATCTATTCAGGGACTCCCAAAATCCATCCAAACGCACCCAAAGGGGTGGCTGAGACCTAAAGAACATCCATTAACCCACTCCCAAGCTCTTGGGATCACCACTATACGTGAATCCCTGCGAAGGGCAATGAGAGGCCGGTGGCGGGGTGCGTGGGGCGGCGCGCGCGGGCCGGGCACGGTGGCGGTGCCGGGAGGCGTCCGCGGGGCACGCGGAGCCGGCTGCAAT